ACTCAAATCAAACTGCAATTAAATGAGGACTAATGTGCAAGTCTGCAGTTTCACCGCTGTGTGTACACAACCGTTTGGCCAACTGCAGTCCATGACAGACATTCCTTACCCATCACGCCTGACATCATTCTTTAAAGTCATAATACATGTGGTACAGTTAAAATCATTCTGATCTGACCCAGGTGTGACAGAAAGGAAAACTAACACATGTAGCAGAATAAAGTCAGTGAATTTGAATTTAAAAGCTGTTCTCAGGGCTAAGACCACATGAGTTACACACATTTTCTTAAACCACATCCTGCTGGTTCAGTGAACTGACTTCTACCCAGAAAGTGCAGAGCCTTAGGTCTTTTCATACAATAACCCTATCTGATTGCCCAGGGTCAAGCTACTGTTTATCTTTGCCAGACACAACCCATATCCTGAACAGAACCCATATCCTAAAACCTGTGTTTTTCACCAATTATTTCAGGGCAATACAGGCTCTGACATTCTTTCTACATAATCACCTAAACAAGAGAAATAGTCTAATTTTTTGTTTTTTAATTATTAGTCAAAAGCAGCTCAGTGGTAAAGAATCTGCCTGCTAATGCAGGAGCTGCAGGGGCTGCAGGTTCGATCCCTGGGTCCAGAAGATCCTCTGAAGGAGGAAATGGCAACTCACTCCAGTATTCTTGCCTGGAGAATCCTATGGACAGAGGAGCCTGGCGGGCTATAGTTCATGGGGTTGCAAACAGGCAAACACGACTGAATGACTGAGCACCACCACAAACGCACACACAGTGGTCAAGAGCTTGGCTTTTTTCATTTTCTTTCTCACGAGTGCTCAACATTTTGCAAAAGAAGGGCCGTGCTGCCCTCTACTGCAGGATGTTGAAATGTTCACAACACACTTCGATATCTGCCTGCCACCCCCACCACAACCCAGCTTTGTGGGATAGAGGAAGACAATCTATTACAATGTTTTACACTATCCCTTTAGGAGGTGTTTAAAAGAAATGTGAAAAACAACAACAACAACAAACAAACAAAAAAGAAATGTGTTCTTGGAAAATAGATTGAATTTGTTTCCTTCATTATTTCTTTATCTACCTTCATCATTTCTTTATCTACCTTCATCTTATACCAAAGCGTAGGACTTTAGGACATGATTTAACAACAAAAAAAGGACATTACAACTTGGGGGGGAAAAGCTTAAGACATTGCTCTAGAGGTAAGAGGCTGTGTTTTGGTGCATTTAGGGAGAAACAGAGCAAAGGGAGGAAATTTTATTCTGACTTTAAGGTCTGTGATCTTTTGGTCTCCTTTCATTTGGAGTGTTGTCATTAGCTTTCTGCTAAGGTGATCTTATTAAGTGTCCAGTACAATTCTAAGCATTTTAGAGTCAATCGTTTAATAATATTAAATCATTTAATCTTCACAGCAATCCCATGTGGTAGAATTATTATTATCTCTGTGTTACAGGTAAGTTAACTGAGGTATACGGGGAAATCTAGTCCCAGAGGCCATGCTTTTAACCATTATACTACACTGCTCCTTTAAGTACAAAAATTATATAACACAACAATTTTTAAATGGTGCTCTAGAACTTAGTTACATTAACAAGTAGATAAAGCACAGCCACACTTTTCAGTCTTGTTGACATCTCTGTTATACAAAGGCCGTAGCAGTTTTTAAAAAGTTCTGCCCATGTAGGTGCATAGTTTAGGAACTAATATTAGACCTTGTCCACCCCAGGCCTCACTAGACACGCCCTTCTATGAAACAGGAAACAGCAAGAGACCTTCACTTGGTCTAATCCATCTGTGCAGGTGGGAAGAGAAGTCATACATAGGGAGGGAGGGATTTCTCTGGTGGTCCAGTGGCTAGGACTCCAACCCAATGCAGGGGGCTTGGTGTGATCCCTGGTCAGGGAACTAGACCCCATGTGCTGCAATGCAGAGTTCGAATGCCACTGAAGATCCCGTGTGCTGCAGCTACAACCTGGAGCAACCAAATAAATACTTTAAGAAGTATACGAGAGAGAGGAGAGAAGTGAGGGAAGAGATGCAAGGAGATGGTTCCATCAAGACACACCCAGGAAACAAACGAGTTAATTTGAAGAGAGTGGTTGATAAGCGATCACTTTCCTTAGCAAGAGTAATCTCAATACAGTAGGAGGACAGCATCAACCTAGGGCTTCTACACTTATCTTCTCGGCCACAATTTAGACACATGGTGACTACTGAACAAATCTCCTCTTACAGCTTTGATTTTTATTGTTTAGCGCACAACTCAGATTCTAAATATCCTACCCTTTATGACAGCATATGCCCAAACACAACCATTCCAAAGCACTTTTGTGCTTGAGTGCAAAGTGTGATAAACTCCTCTGTCCCTTGACTTGTTGCTAAGTGTAGATCTGGGTATCACGGGCAAGATTAACTGCAATAAGCAGGTGTAGATTTACTTAGAGGTCCATGCAGGGCCCACTGCTGCCCTGGCCTGCCTCTTACACTATGGGGCAGTGCTGTCTAGCCCTGAAGGCTTCAGATTTCCAAGCGAGTATATTGTTAAAGAGATTCATTCCTGATCAAGTTGTTGCTGTATGGTTCCCACCTCTTCCATTTCAATTCTTTTAAAGAAAAAAGAAAAAAAAGAAAAAGGCAGAAGGGGGATGGTAGGTACAGACCGTCCCTTGAACAGATAATCCTAATGAAGTCAGTAGGCAGGGGGAATACCTGCCAGTCTTCCTTCTGACCCTCACTGCCCTTTCCCTGGACTCTTTTCCCTGCCTGCCTATTTGACTGGGCAGTGTTTGCCTCTCAAGAATCCTTTGAATTATCCATTGGCAGGGAGGCAGTCTTAATCCATTCTAAGTGTTAAAATTAGCGATGGCCTGGAAAGCATTTTGTTTACTTCAATACACAGAGTTTGCTTAGAGGGGCAGCCTGCAGGACTCAAGAGAGGAGTACTGAAGTTAATCTCCGAGAAACATATTCACGAGAGACTTGGATTCCACATAATATATAATCTCCTCCCCTAACACCCAGTAATTGTCCCTTTCTAAAACTCAGAACAGATATTATGAAGACATGAAGAAAAACCACTTAAGGTACTTTCTTTACCCCTATCAGCACTGATTTGGTTATGGGGTTGTTTAGGTTGCCAATCAATATTTATTTGGACTTAGCTAAGTTGATAATGTTGAGGTAAACTAGGGTTGTTTTTCCCCGCAGTGAATGATGTAAGGGGTGACCATGATATTGTTGGCCAGTGCTGTGAAGACTGTAATCAAACTTCGGGAAGGCTGGGCTATAGAACATCCCACTCAGCAGTTGCCCTTTGCCTCTGCTTAGAGAAGCACGAGAAGTTCACTGTCATTTCACCTTTGGTGTTGAGCTTGCAGTCTTAAAGGAAAGTGTTGTCAATGAAACACTGTGGACAGTTACCTTTAAAACTAGAGGTTAAATTTCTGAAAAGAAGCAAATGAAACAAAGGTTGGCAGCTGTTGTGCAAAGGTCTTCTGGCTTTGTTACTTTGAATGAAAGATTCGTTGTGAGATTTGTCACATTATCCAATGAAGGGAGGCTGAAGTATTGCTTTTTTTCTGAAAAACCACAAGTACAGGCTCTTCCACCATTTATTGAATACTTACTGAAGGAGACTAATACAGACTAAGATCTCTAGCCAAGGGTGTGCAGATGTGCAATGATGACAACAGCCAACATTCTGTGAGTGCTTACTATGTGCAACTAAACACTTGATATTTGTTAACTCATATAATCCCCACAACTCTTAAGGAAAGTACTATTGTCTCCATTTACTGAGCAGGACCCGAGAGGTTAAAATAACTTGCCTAGACTTGCCTGAGTTGGTAAGTGGTAAGGCTAGATTCTAAACATAAGTAGTCTGCCTCCAGAGCTGGGTTCTTAACTGGGCGTTTTCTAAAATATTGCCAACAAGATACAGAAGCATAGGAAAGAGAGATGGATTTTAAGCAGAGTGAGGGTTAAGGCAAAGCTTTGTGGAGGAGGCATTTGCTCTGTATCTTGAAGGTCAACAGGTGAAGAGAGGGGCTGGGGAGGAAGGAACAGCCTGACTAAAAGAAGACACAGTTTGAGTATGGGCCAGCTGACGACAGCAAGATGTGGTTGAGTGCCCGCGTGGGAGAAAAGCTGGAGGGGGGAGGCCGCGCCCGGATCCGGAAGGTCCTTGAGGACCAAGCTCTCTCAGTAAGGCAAGGGGAGCAAAAATCTCAAACTATAAGGGTGGCAGAAAGGAATTCCTGGACACTTCTTCTTTTGGTAGGATGGTCCCCTGTTTGAAACCAAGGCAGGTGGCCCACTAATATTTCTCTCCGGGGAAAACAGCCGTTCGAGATGGTCAAGGTCGTCCACGAGGGCTCTGGAGCTGCACGTCCCGGCCGAGGACTCACGTCCCGTGCGCAGAGGCCGGATTTAGCTGCCAGCCCGAGCCGGGCCAGGCTGGGTCAGGAATGTGCGTACTCCCGGGTCTGGCAGCGAGAACACCAGCTTCGCGGGTACGGGAAGGCCAGTACTTCAGAATTCCCATCAGCTATCTCTCTCTGGCCTCTTGGCCCTTGAAGGTCGAGGAGGCCGCCTCCTCTCTACGCAGCTTGGCTCCTCCCCTCAGCCCCGGGAGGGCCAAGGAAAAACGGCCTCAGTGATAGGAGCATGCTCTGCTAATCAACCATAGCCCCGCCCCTTCCCAGCCAGCATACGTTGCATTGGTTACATCATTACCGGCCCTCCGATAAGAGTTTTTCTTTGATTGGCTAATAGCATCCCCGTCCTCCTGTCCTTTTTGCGTCAGAAGCTCGCGATTGGTTAACCGCGTTGCCAAGCTCCGGACGCGGCTCGACCATTGGAGGCCGCGGGGCGCCCCCCCTCCCGCCGGCTAGGTGAAGGTGAGAGTCTCCTCCAGTCGCCGCGGTTAGACCGGACCGAGAGGCTCCAGGCGCTGGGTGGAAGCTTTCAATCAACTCCTGCTTTCTAGCTATGGCGCCTCCATCAATCTTTGCCGAGGTTCCTCAGGCCCAGCCGGTCCTTGTCTTTAAGCTAACTGCTGACTTCCGGGAGGATCCGGACCCCCGCAAGGTCAACCTAGGAGTGGGAGGTAAGGATGCAGTGCCTAAGAGTGTGAGCAACGTGGGAGTGGAGCGGGCTGTGGGGACCGTAGGAGATGCCGAGGTCTATAAAAATAAGCTTGGAGGAGAGGCAAGATCTCCGAGGCTTAGTTCAACCTGCCCCTTGTATATGGAGTCCCTGGAAAAGGGAGATGCATCTGTGTACACACAGAATAGGTGTAGCAGTCAATACACAAACAGGTTTTCTGATTCTACATTGTGTATTCATTGTGTATTGCACTGCATTCTTTCTCCTCTTAAGAAATGGGGCAGTCAGGGATTGAAAGGAGGAGGAGAAAAATAAGAAGCCTGATAGGCTTGGAGTCCTGGCTACTGGGGAATGGATGAAGGAGACCTCTTAGCCCTACAGAGCTCTGGTCTGAGTCGGTGAATATTTGAGTGACTACAAGGTATCAGTCAGGTACTTTACCAAGCCTTATTCAGGAAAGACTGAAGCTTGGAGATTAAAATCAGCAGGTGTTAAGTGAAATAATAAAGATCTAAAATGCTTCTGAGACAGGATAATGCTCCCTTGGGATCTGGGAAAAATGTTTGGGCTGTGGGGGGGGAATGTAGAGATGGTGGAAAAGAGAGGAAAGAATGTGGACAGTAGAAGCTTATTTTCCACGCATCCTTGTCATCATTTCTTGTGTGTAATTCTTGGACCTTGGACAGCTGAGAGCATTGGGTTCTTTTTTTATTACTACCAAGAAAAATATTTGGAGTGGAGTGCCTCTGAAGTTCCTTTAACTCTTAATCTTCTCTGATTTTGTTATTTCTGTCAACGTCGTTGGGATGCTTGCAGCCGCAGGACACTTACCCAAGGACATACAAAGCAAGCCAAGGAAAAGAGCACGAGTAGGATCATGTTCTGTGCTAGGGAACAGACAGAGTAGAAGGACTAGAAATTTCAGAAAGAGAAAAACTGAAGTGTTTTGTAGAAAAGAAGCAGTGGCAAGAAGGAGGTTCAGAATCAGGTGTCCCACAGTGATGTCTGTTCATAGGATCTGTTAAAGTTTTCACCAGGGAGTATGGGGGAGGGGTGAGGAAAAGGCAGGTAATGGGTACATGGTAATGAAGCAGCAGGTAATGAAGCTGGGTATTGGATACATGGGCATCCATTATATTATTCTCACAACATTTGTATATGTTTGACATTTTCCATAATAAAGCATAAAAAACCAGTTGTACATAGTTTCACCCACAGAGGGAAAGTGATGCTTTTAGCAGGCAGCAAAGTGGGGGTGATATTGAAAGACCTTGAATTGAATTGGAATGAGCACTATTCAAGCTCTTGATTTAAAACCAATCCAGAACCTCCAAGTATTTCTTCAGAGCTGGGTATAACATGATGAACTAGTATTGATGTTAATCTAAATACATCTTTTTAAAACTTTAGATTTTATTTGCTTGGTTACCTTTGAACTATCCTACAGGCTTTAGGTGAGAATTAAATGCATTTAAAATGCTTAGAACAGTGTCTGGCACCTAAGTAGGAGTTATGTAAGTACTAGCTATTACTGTGGTTGTTTTGGCATTTCTTTGGGTGGGTTGCATAAAAGATGTTGAGTAAAAATTTTCAGCTCAAGAACTGCAAAATGAAATAAACCTGGTTCAGGTTGCCCATGCAGAAAATAAGCACCCTGCCAGCTATGGCCAGAAGTGATTGACTCAGAAGCACATTCTGCGGCCCAGATGGAGGTCGCTTTAACTGTGAAAGAGCCTTTGTCATGTGAGAACTGAGGAATTCTTTCTCTTTATTACAAGCAAATGATTTATGCAGTTAATCACATTGAGTGCTCAGGATGACTCTGGAGGGTTGTTTATTACTATTACTGTTTTAGAGGTAAGAAAGCTGAAGCCCAGATTGATGAAACATTTTGGCCTAGGTCATAGGCTTTTAAGTGGGGGAGCTGGGATTACAGGCCATGTCAGGTACCTGGGTCTCTGTCCCCGTCTCTATTTTGGGCAGCTTCAGGTGGTCCAGATGGAGCCAGTGCATTGTGGTGGGAAGAGTGAGAAGACTTGGGTACAGGCCTGGGTCTGTAGTCCAGTGATGTGACCTTGGAAGTGTTATTTAACATCCCAGGCGGGACTCCGCCGATTAAGTGAGGAGCCAGAAAGGAATGACCTTCCTCTAAAATACTACTCTTAAGATTCACAAGCATGTTACATGGCTGTAGTATAGGATAATAATGTTACTGGTCTAATCAGATGACTTTGAAGTAAATAATTACGTGTGAAATGTGACATATAAATGAAAAGTGCTATATAAATGTTATTTTTATTGATCACTGTGACCCATTGTTTTTTTGTGGATGGTAAGTGTTCAGATAAGGGTCTCATTAAAGTATAGTATTGTGAGAAGTCTCTTTATGGCATTCTTATGTCCTAGCTCTGTTTATACACATCCCAAAGTATATCCTTTGTGAAGGAAATGTAATCAATCTCGCTGACTTTGGGGAAGGTGCTTTTTTTTTTCTTTCTAAGTTAAGATAAAACCTAATGGAAGTTATCCAGCTCAAGTTCTAGTGATGCTGGGCATTTAAAATAAGCTGCAACTATAATCTCATTAGCTCTTTCCACTTGCAGATAGTTTCCCCAGGAATTTTCTTCTTGCTGTTACTATTTGCATAATTTCCATGTAGTAACAGAGCAGAGCATCATATTTTCCAGTGTTGAATATGAAGCTAAGTTTCAGACAGTAACTTCAAGGGCAGGGGAAACAGGCATCTAGCCTGATGCAGCCTGAAGCAAGACATTTCTTCACAGACTGCAGTCCGTTTATCATGTAAACTTTCTTTTGTTCCAGATAAACTGTGCTTGCTTTTATATTTGTTGTTTTTAATGTGGTTTCCTAGCATTTTCAAATAAAATTGTGGGGGAGATGTGCTGTATCAAGGGTTTCTGAGTATCCCCTACTACTTCCCTGAATGCTGGGCCCATACTTGCTACAGTTTGCTGGACATATTGTACAACCACCTCAAATTCAGTGTGTTCAGAACAACACGTGAGTTCTACCCTCCCCCCCATCTTTTCTTTTCCTCTTCTGCTTACTTGGTTGCCCCCTCTCCCACCTCACCCCCACCAGTCTTTATTCAGACTGGAGAGAGTTTGGAGGTCGTTGGTGACACTTTCATCAATTCTACATCTATTTATTTGGTCATTAGGTTCTGTCTTTTCTTTTCCTCATAAGTTTATCGTGAATGTCTCCTCTTTTGTTTATCCCTGCGGCTGCTGCCTTAATTTAGGACATCATTATTTCCTTTGTGGATTATTGCAGAAACCTCCTTACTTAACCATCTATTTCTGTCCTCCTCCCAGTTTGTTTTCCAGTTTGTTGTCACTCAGATGATTCTGTTTAAATGTACGGCTGTCCATGTCACTCACTTAAATGCTTTCAGTGGCTTCCCCATTGAGACAGTGTTCCTTAGAAGAGACTCCAAGACTCCTTGAGCCATTCCTTGCTGTTCTTCCATGGATCTTATTTCTGAGCCACGAAAATGCAGATCCTCAAAAACCTCATCTCTCCAAGCTCCTGGGACCGTGCACAAGTGTTCCCTCTGTCTGGAATGCCCCCTTTCCTGGTCTGTCTTTTAAACTCTTATCATCTTTCATACTCTGTCTTTTGTAAAATCTTCCCTGATCACTTACAGGGGAATTAAGGACTCTATGCTGTGTTTCCTGGGGGGAGACCAGACAGTATCTTGTTTTATCTTACTCACCTCTGTGTAGCTGCTTCTAGTCAGTGCCTGGTTCATGGTGGATTCAGTGAGTACCTGTCAAACAAATGAGAGAATGAAAGAATGAATGAGAAGCTCATAGATCCAACAAACAGGAATAAAATCCCTGTGGCAGAGCTAGAATAGTGGTTGTTGATAATGCCTCTTCCTCACTGCTCTGATCAACTGAGAGTGACTGCAGGACAGTTAGGACATTACTGGCTTGATATGCTTATCAGATTTGCAGATGACACATTTCTGGAGGATAGGGTTAGTGGATGGAATAGAAGACAGACGCAAAATCAAAATATCTTATTAAGTCTTATTTGTTGTCTGACTTTTGATCTAGTAATTTTACATCTAGAAGTTTCTCTAAGGAAGCCCTCATGAATGTGTATAAAGTTATAAAAGCATTCATTACCTTGTTTATATTAGCAAATAACCAAAAGTACAAATAGTTACTAAATTATATGTAGAAAGGAATATTGTCTAGCCACTAAAATTGTGTTGTATATGGCTCATGTGTGTGAAAAATGCCCAATTCTATGCTAAGAGAAATGCAAATTTAAACTACCCTGAGATAGCATTTGCACTCTTAAATTGGCAAAAATTCACTCAGTGGCTGAGGATGTGGGGAAGCAGACATTCTTATACACTGATGGTAGAAATGTAAACTGATAAAATCCCTAACCTATGGTAGGAATGTGTGACTCAGACAGTATAAGAATCTGCCTGCAATGCAGGAGACCCGGGTTTGATTCCTGGGTCAGGAAGATCCCCTGGAGAAGGGAATGACTACCCACTCCTGTATTCTTACCTGGAGAATGCCGTGGACAGAGGAGCCTGGTGGGCTACAGTTTATGGGGTCGGAAAGACTCAGACACAACTGAGCAACAAACATACTTGGTAGGAAAGTAAACTGCTAAAATCCCCGTAAAAAAGCCAAGGTGGCCATATCTATCAAAGCTGCAGATAACACAAAGTATGCTTAAAGGTAACATATTTGCATTTAAAAGGACCATATTCTTTAAACTTTTCATCAGTTGCTGCCAATTTCTTCCAGTCAGTTTTAACCATATTTGTCATACAACCATGTGTTGTAAATGAAAATCAGTTGAAAGTAGTAAACTAATGTATACCCTCAAAAACAACAACAAAGCTACAAATACACATACTTCTCAACCTGCTCTTCCATTTTCAACCCTGCCTTCTAACAGCTATATTTACATACATGTAAGATGATGGATGTACAAGGCTCACTGAAGAACTGTTTTCTAATAGCCAAGGGTTAGAAACAACTCCAGTGTCCATCAGCAGGAGACTGACTAAACAAATTATGGTGCATTTATCAGTTATGCAGCTCTAAAAAGAATATAGACACAGTACAGAGATTTAGGTAGTTAGTGATGATGAAAGAGGTTCATAATATACATTTAACAAGTGGAAAAAAGCATGCTGAAAATTCTATATGAAAATGATATGTAATTTATAAAAGAGTATACTCATGTAAAGTTTGGAAGGTTATACACCAAAATTTTTACATTCCTCATCTCTGAGTGCTGGAATTACGTGTTAATTATAATGTTTATTATTTTGTTTCTAGGCTTTTCTAAATTTTCTGCAATCAACATGTGTTCAAAAAACATCAACTATCGTAAAAAGTGATTAGAAAAAAAAAGTCAGGGATTAAGGCTGAGCAGAAATCAAGAATTATTTTAAAAATGTCAGTTTCACCATCCCTTGCCAAAGTATAGGCTTATTGGAGACCTAAACATTCCAGCAGAAGCAAATTCCTGTCAGAAATCCTGCTCAGAGAGGTCACTGGCTTGGATACAGGCCAAAGTAGCTGTCCTCTCAAGCTGTAATCTCAGAATGATCTTAAGGTACTATAGGGAGAAAAAAATCAGTGATAGGATAACCCAAGGTAGACTGGAAATAATTGTAGCATAGAAGAAATACTTAGAAATGTGCTTTAATCACTATTAAACATTTTGAAATAGTTAAACTTACATCAGTGAAAATGTGAAGCTAAGGAAGTGAGTGGTAAGAACAGTTAAAGTGGTAAACGCTGGCTGTTATAAAAAATCAGTAAGAGGACAAAGATGTGTTTAAATTGGATGTTGGATGATTGTGTAACCAGTTTTTGGAATCTTCAGTCACAGAGTGTCTCCTTGCCATTTGTCCCATTTCTGTTCTTACAGGACCTCCGTCTACTGCCCTCTTTCTCCGTGTTTGTGTTTGCAGGTGAGGCATTCATCTAAAGTAGCACTGAACCCTTCTTTTGGGGTGATGCAGAAAGAAGGCGGTTGCAGGGCAGGTGGCCCTGGAGACCTGAGTGCCATAGTAATATTGACATAGCTAGCATTTGTACGGTATTTTTAATTTGCTAAGTGCTTTTGCGTGTACTCTGTCACTCAATCAGGCTCTGTCATATCCCAGTTTTATTTCAGCTTTCTACTTGTTGGAGGTAACAGCTGTAATTTCCAGAAGGATAGGAATCACATCTGTCCTTCTGCTCGTCCAGCACCTAGTCTGGTGCCTGCCGAAAGCAGGCAGTCAGCAAGTGAAAAAACTTTTAATTCCCCTCCCAGTTCTGTTTTGATTGGAAGGTGGTAGAACTCCCTCTGTTCACAGTTCCAGACTCTTCCTTGGATGAAGCCTAAGGCTCCTCCGTTGTATGTCTCTTTCTTGTGTCCTAGCTTATCGCACTGATGATAGCCAGCCCTGGGTTTTGCCAGTTGTGAGGAAGGTGGAGCAGAGGATTGCTAACGACAGCAGCATAAACCATGAGTATCTGCCCATCCTGGGCCTGGCAGAGTTCCGAACCTGTGCTTCCCGCCTGGCCCTTGGGGATGACAGCCCAGCTCTGCAAGAGAAGCGGGTGAGTCTTGGGTGAGGATCTGTTTTCTCTTTAGAAGCTGTGAGGGTAAAAAGAGGTTAAAAATTAGGTGTCGTGTCTATTGAACTGTCAGTAAGTAAGGGTTTAAAGAGTGATCTCAGGAACCTGATTGTGCAAGTAACGTGCTTTTGTATAAAGCATAGTTTCTTTTTGCCCAAGAAGTGGTCAGATTTCAGCTGTTGGGTTTGAAGCAGTCAGTGGGAATACCAAGCCAAGGGAGCTTAATGGAATGATCAAGACATCAGGGTCTGGATCCAGCTCTGCCACTACTTTTGACCAGAGGCAGCCCCTGCAGCCCTTACGACTCATCTATGAGTTAGAGAAAGACTAGTTTATGGTTCATGGTCCCATAAGGAGTATTTGCATAGGGAATCATTTAAGGGACCACTGAACGCCCAAAATTCTGAATTTCAGAATTCTATGTGTATGTGTATTCCATACAGATTTTATCAGATTTTCTGAAGGAGCCTGTGGCCCTCCAAAGTCTAAGAGCCACTAGTCTAGATGCTCTCTGAAGATCCTGCCAGTTCTAATATTTGATTCTTCTAGTCTTGATCTCAGCATCTCTCATTTAAGTCCTTCCTGGTACGTAGTCTATGTGTAACTAGAGATACATGGAAGAACACATTTGGCCAGAGGCTGTATGTGACAAAGTAGTGTGATAGAGATTATCAGTATTATAGGAATTCAGAGAGAGAGACTGGTAGAGTCTGGAGGTGGGGCTTGAGCTGAACCTTGGGGAATGAGGCCAGGGCTCATTCTGGTTCTGTACTCTGACTCTATTACCTGGGTGGTTTTAAAAGCATACTAGTGGCAGGGTCCCATACCAGGCCTGTTCGATCCGAATCTTGGACAGTACCACCCTCTTCTGTCCTTTTATTTCCTTTCCCTCCAATTCCCTTCCCCTCAAGGGTATTTTTTAAAAGCTCCTCAATGTTACGCCAAAGGACAGCCAAGGTTGAGAACCACAAAGCGCAGAGGAAGAAAAAGGAATATTTGTCTAGAACACTAGGAGTCCAGGGACAAAGGTTGGAGGTAAGCAGGTCTGCTGCTGATGCTGCTAAGTCACTTCAGTCGTGTCCAACTCTCTGTGACCCCATAGACAGCAGCGCATCAGCCTCCCCCATCCCTGGGATTCTCCAGGCAAGAACACTGGAGTGGGTTGCCATTTTCTTCTCCAATGCCTGAAAGTGAAAAGTGAAAGTGAAGACTCCTCCGTCCATGGATTTTCCAGGCAAGAGTGCTGAAATGGGGTGCCATTGCCTTCTCCAAAGCAGGTCTCGGTTGTAAAAAGACCTGCGTGAGTAGAGCTGGGAACATGTTGGCTAGATCAGGCAGGCTGATTTGTCAGCCAGGGCAGGGGAAGCCCCTTGAAGGTTTGTGCAGAGGAGTTACCCAATAAGGGTATTTGAAGAAGATAGACCTGGCTGGAGTGCAGGAGGGGGATGAGCTCAGGTTTTTGCAATAGTCCAGTTAGGTATTGTGCAATTTAAATCAACTGCCCTATTGCTCTGCTGGGCCATTGTCAGCCTATTGGAGCAGCCTTCATGTATGAAAGGGACCATGTCTTGGAGTCATTGATTTATTCTCATGCTGTTACCCACACGCCCTGATAAGCACATGGCAGGGTAAAATGAACATTGCACACTCTTAGATATGTCAGGAGACAGGGAGGCTCTGGATGAAGATCTTGGAACTCAGATTAATGATTAGGTAAGTTTCAATAATTAACTTGATTAGGGTTTTATCTGGATTGGTATGAGAGACTGTGAAGGAATACTGATAGAAATAGGATAGAAATGGTAGAGATAATGGTTAGCATTGGGAAGTTGCTCTGAAAATCCAGGGTTTCCACAGGGGAAGAGAGAGAGTCCTGATGAAGTTTGAAAATGGGGAACTTTGGTAACTGGGGGTGATCTTTTGAGACATTGTTGATAAATTAGTTTTAACTCCATTGTTAACAAATGAAAAACAGAGATTCTGTGTTGGCAAGCTTCTTCCTCTAAGACTGTACATTTCTCACATGCTTGTTAACTCTGCTGGCAGATAGATGCTTGTTCCCCTGCCCATTGTTCCCCGTTTTCCTCACTTAATACTCGGGGCTGTTGCTGGTGGAACAGAGCCCTTCCTCTTAGTCTAGTTCACCCTGTATTGTGTTTTTGATCATAGAACAAATTTAAATGGCAGTCTGTAAATATTTGAAGACTTTTACTCTCTTTTTTTTTGTAATGGTTTAGGGTACCCTCTTGGCATCTCCAAAACTCTAGGTACCTATTGATACTGAGTTCTGAGTTCTTTCTGTTGCCCTGCACCTCCCCCAGGTGACTATCTTGTTCAGCCCATTGTCAGCCGATTGGATTCTCATAATAGCCTCTGGCCTCTAGTCTCTTCCCCATTCTAGTGTATAATGCACAGTGCAGCTAGAATGATCTTCCTCAGCAAAAAAAATAAGCTAATCCTGTCACCTGCTTCCCCTGTCACACAGTGTCTCCTCCATTATCTACAGGGTAAAATGCAGACTCTGCCCTGGGCATGCTGCGTGTTTTGTAGCCAGGCTTCATCCTGTTCTTCCAGTTAGTTACTCTTGCTCTCAGGTCCTGCCGTCCGAAGAGCCTGCTGTTTTCTAGACCCGTTGGGCCCTGCTGTGACTTGGCACTTTTGCCTCAGCTGTTCCCTCTGCTGGGAATGCCTCCATTTCTCAGACTCTCCAGTCCCACCTCCAAGTCCTTCAAGGCCTGATCAAGGGTTATTTCCATGTTGAATCAGCGCTCAGGCGGAGCTAGCTGTTTGAGTGCTCTGAGTCATCACAGGACTGCATTGCTGGGGAGATAGCAGTGCTTTCTGGATTTAATGTACAGTTCTGTAAGCCTGTCCCTCCCACAGAGCCTGCCTTCTTCCAGGGTAGGAGTGATGGCTTATTTGTCGACCTCACAGATCTTCAGCACTTAGCTCCTAGCCTGGCTCCTCAGAGACCTCAGATATTTGAGTTCCCTCATTCTCCCAGTTAACAGATGAGTGCTCACCACTAGGCACTGTTCTAGATGCTGGAGCACAGTGGTGACCAAAACACCCCAAGATTCTCCACCTGGCTTATGGTTTTGTGGGGAGAAACCAAAGACTAAACATAATAAATAGAAGCACAATATAGTGTATTGGAAGATGATAAATGCTGGAAAAAAAAAAAGGGCAGGGGAAGGTATATTAGGAGTGCTGAGGGTTGGAGTGGAAGTTTGACTAGGGCGGTTGTGGTAGAAATAGAAATAACATTGGAGCCGAAACTTGTAGGAGTTGAGGCGTGAATGAAAGAATGAACCAGAAAACAAACAGTAGTCATGTCTCTTCTTAGACTGTTCTTCTCAAGATTTCACATTACCATGTCCATTAACCATTTTGAGGAGCCCTATTTTCTAGACTCGTCACCGCCTCCTACCGCTTTTCCATCTTCAGATCTTGGAATCCAGACTAAATGTCCAAATTTCATCTCCTACCTGATAAACATTTCAGCTTCTGAAATTACTGGGCCCCTGCGGGTAGGAGGTCTTGTGAACCATGAGATGGCATCACGGTTTCCTGGCTCGGACCATTGCCTTTTAGAGGTTTGGCATTTTCTCTGTGGCTCTAACCTTCTTCTTGTTGTTTTTCAGTCGCCCAGTCACGTTCCACTTTTTGCGGCCCCATGGACTGCAGTGCGCTAGGCCTCCTGGTCCCTCACCATCTCCCAAAGTTTGCCTAAGTTCATGTCCATTGCTTTGGTGATGCCATCTAGCCATCTCATCCTCTGACGCCCTCTTCTCCTTCTGTCCTCAGTCTTTCCCAGTATCAGGGACTCTTTTTCTTCATCTAGTTCAGTCCATGTTTATTTAGTGCCACATGCCAGATACTGCCCAACTAACTGGGGGCACCCAGATCAACACGTTGTAGTGTTGACTACAAGTGGCTCCTAAATGGCTCTCCTGTTCCTCACAGGGAAGTCATTACATCAGCAAATCGTGACCTTGGACAGGCATTCTAGAGCCAAGCGGGGATTCCTTCCAGCAGCATGGCTAAGTTGGAAGTACAGATTATCTACTTGCATAGTTTTCTGCCAAGTCTTAACTGCATTTCTCTTGTTCTGGATACCCCTGTTTAGCCACCCAGGCCCCGTTGCCTGCTCCCTTTGAAGTTTGCATTTATTTTCTTTGCTATTATGGTTTTTTCCTTCATCCCAAATAGAAGACTTTCTTGGGCTTTAGAGCAGTTTGCCAAAAATCAGTTCACAGAATGATCAAATAGACATATTATTGATTCACCCAAAGTTTGTTCCTGCTAGTTTTTGTAACAGTTTAGAGCAACTCGTGTTTCACTGAATTCACCTACTGTACAATATATTTTTAGAGAGAATGATAATTTCTTGAGAATTTGATATGTCACTGTCATATACCTCATGAATGTCAAGGATTGGTTAATGTTAGTGAAGTGGGTTCATCTCTTGCAAACATTTTTAACCTAGTGCACTGACTTTCTAGGGAAGCCCAGGTGGCTTGTGGTAAAGAACCCACCTGCCAGGCAGGAGACATGGGTTTGATCCCTGAGTCGGGAAGATCCCCTGGAGAAGGAAATGGCAACCCACTCCAGTATTCTTGCTTGGGAAATCCCATGGACAGAGGAGCCTGGCAGGCTACAATCCATGGGGTTGGGTTGTAAAGAGTCGCACACAGCTTAGTGACTAAACAGCAGCAATTGACTTTCTGACTTCTTTTAGTTAGCGAATTTGCTTTCTGGAGTGAGAAAGGAGTTGGAAGCTGAGCACAGAAAATAAAACCTATGCCTGAGAATGTCTTCACTGATATCCACATGCACCTGTCACATATCCATGGTAACTTAAAACCCTATTCAAGGGAAACCTTGCTCATTTGTATAGGAAATAACATACAAAGTGCTGAGGTGTTTGAAATATGAAATAAGGAATAAAGTCGACATTCAACTTAGTTGATGAGAAATCCATAAAAAAAAAATTTACATTTGGGTTACATGACCTTGGTAGCCATTTGCGCAACGAATCCAGGTAGATCACATTGTGAAGGCAAAATCTTTAAAGTAATGGGAAGGTACTGGTGCTCGGGGGCGGGGGTGGAGGCGACTACTGTGAGGAACCGCATCGGATGTGCACTGACCTTTTCCACTCCAGTCCACGGCCTTTGCTTCTTGCAGTGGATGCCATGCTCTGTTCTTTGTTTCCCTGAATGTCAGTCTCATTTCTGTTTCATGTTTCAGTGTTCTCTCACAGATGCTCAAATCTCTGAATAAAAATAGAGCAGTGGGGAGTAAGAGCGACAGTTGGTATCATTGCATGGTTCCGAGCTTAAAGGGGATTTCTGCTCATGATTCAGTATTCATCATGAAGCTGACTTGTGGCTGAATCAAAATTTTTTCAAGTTGTTTTTAGGATGTCTCCATTGGTTCTTGTCTTACTGAGCATTTATATCAGAAATAGCTCTGTTTTTCTCTCCTGTTATGATGGTCATTTGGTGATCATTTTCTTTATCTAGCAGTATAACAAACTTTATATTTCTTTTCTCTTTTTTTTTGAACATGAGAAAATCAAAGTTTAGTAACCCATATACATGGGAGAGGCCTAGGAAAACTGACTCACTCCTATAGTTGCTAATAATCACATATTCAAGGGATAACTCACTTGACCAAGGGGTATTTTTAAATGTACTGTTGGATTCATAGTGTTTATTAATTTTTATTTGGGACATTAATATCCATATTCATGAAAGAGAGCTCTCTTTTTTGCTTTGTCATCTTTTAGCATTGGTGTTATGCTATTTTTTTAAAAAAAGATTTTGGAAGCCTTTTTTCTTTATCTTTAAAGGTTTGTTTTTTTCCTTTTTTTATGGAAAATTTCAAACATATATAAAAGTAGATAAAACATTGTAATGAACAAACCCCATGGATCCATCAGCTAGCTTCAACAGTGATTTATATTTGGTCACCAGAGTGGAATTATTTTACAGCAAATTGCAGACATCTAAATATATTTTTTTAATTATTAAAAAATTTCCAGCTAACACATGAATAGATTCTCCTTATCTTTTTTTTAAAAAAAAAAAAACATAGATTAGGCCAAAGTCCCTTTGACCACTATTCCCTCATCCTAGCTCCCTCTCCAGAGGTTGTTACTGTTATTACATTGGTATGTGTACTTCCTTTTCGATAGACTTCTTTATGTGATCTTTTTCTCTCTTCTTTAGACATTTAAACAATATATAATTTATGACATTTCTCTAGTTAGAACTGTGAAAGGGCAGGATTAAAGATGTTCAGACAGAACAACAGAAGTAGGGCCTCGTGACTAGATGTAGAGCGAGGCCATCTGGAAGTATGCCCAGCTCTGCCACTCACCAGCTATAGATCCTCTGCCAAACCACTTCTCTGCATCAGTTTCCTCATGTATAAATTGGGAATCTAGTACTTACTTTATAGGGCTGTGTGAAGGTCAAATAAGTATGTGTGTGAAGTGAAAGTCACTCAGTCATGTCTGACTCTTTGTGACCCCATGGACTATACAGTCCATGGAATTCTCTAGGCCAGAACACTGGAGTGGGTAGCCTTTTCCTTCTCCAGGGGATCTGCTTAACCCAGGGATCAATCCCAGGTCTCCCGCATTGCAGGTGGATTCTTTACCCACTGAGCCGTCAGGGAAGCCCAAGAATACTGGAGTGGGTAGTCTATCCCTTCTCCAGCAGATCTTCTCGACCCAGGAATTGAACTGGGGTCTCCTGCATTGCAGACTGATTCTTTACCAACTGAGCTATCAGGGAAGCCCATGTGTGTGAAGGTATTTTGTAAAAGGCAAAATATAAGACTTTAATAATTGCTCAAGTGAGGCCATTCTAAGATGAGGAAGCCTGAGGAGAGAAAGGTAGTGTTTGCATAGCACCTTTGTTCTGTGAGGACATTTCTAAGGATTAGTAAGCCTTCAGTATAGCGATGAGAAGGTGCATTGCAGATTGATTTTGATGGCAAGCGCATAACATATTTTACAGGCTACTGTTGGAGGGCAGTTTTGATCTTGGGATGGGTGCAAAGGAATGAGTTTGCCTTGAAGGGCACACTTAATGTGGCCTAGGTATGTCCTCTACCTCTGTGTTCAGAGGGATGCTCCCCTGGGAGTCAGACTTCCAGACTTCCTGGGTGAAGACCTGGCCTTTCTGCTCAATAGCTGGTAACTGAGGAAAGCACTTCACTTCTTAGCCTTTGTTGTTGTTCAGTAGATCTGTCATGTCCAACTCTTTCCAACCCCATGGATTGCAGCACACCAGGCTTCCCAGTCCTTCACTATCTCCCAGAGTTTGCCCAAACTCATGTCCATTGAATCGGTAGTGCCATCCAACCATCTCATCCTCTGTTGTCCCTTTCTCCTCCTGCCCTCAATCTTTCCCAGCATTAGGTTCTTTTCTAATGTGTTGGCTTTTCCCATCAGGTGGCCAAAGTAGCTTAGCCTTAGTTTTCTTATTTGTAAACACGGGCAAATAATACTTCTTCATGTCTTTATGATATTTTATAGAGATAACGCATTTAAGGAAGTGCTCTTCATTACTGTATTTTCCCTAATGTTATCTGACCTTACCCTTAAATTACCAGCAACCCTGCTGTTTCTCTTTCAGGTAGGAGGTGTGCAGTGCTTGGGGGGAACAGGTGCACTTCGAATCGGAGCTGAGTTCTTAGCGCGCTGGTACAATGGAACAAACAACAAGGACACGCCCGTCTATGTATCCTCACCAACCTGGGGTGAGTCCTGTAGCTATAGTGAGAGGAGAAACAGAGGAGCCAGGGGAATTATCCTCATGAGTCTCACTGCTTACACTGAAAATGTAACCCAGCCCTGGATCAACTAACAGTGAATGGCTTGAGCAGTGGATTATGGCAGTACATGGGTAACCTGATGCTTAAGTTCAGATTGGCAATACTTTTTCCCAAGACTCTTGGTGAACTTGAGTTTAAGTGAATGTTGAATGTTCCCGGAGGAGGGAGATCCCTCTGTAGTAGGATGTAAATCAGCATGACAACAACTGGTTGAACTTGTTCTTGGTTACGGTCATTCCTCTCAATCTTAACCTCTCACCTCTATGTCCCCCAGTGGACGTGGAGCCTGTGAGGGCCCTGGAAGCTGCCTTGTGTCCTTTCCATTTAATGCCTGCTAGTGTTTGTAAAACATTTAATGTTTTACCCCTTTGTTTACAGAGAACCATAATGGTGTCTTTATTGCTGCTGGATTTAAAGACATTCGGTCCTATCACTATTGGGATGCAGCGAAGAGAGGACTAGACCTCCAGGGTTTCCTGAATGATTTGGAGGTGGGTGATTAGAAGAGAAAAAGTGGACAGAATGCCAGGGTTTCAGGCAGAGTGGGGGACAGTCTTTGGATCAGTTGATAAGTGAGAGAGTCTGAGACATCCTCCCCATGCCAGATGCATTTTTTCTGAAATGGCTCGTAAGGAGGGAGTGCCTGTCCTCTGTGCCCCTAACTCTGCCCCACCATGTCCCTGCTGGTCTCAGAGCTGACGTGGCTTCCTTCTCCCCAGAAAGCTCCCGAGTTCTCCATCTTTGTCCTCCATGCCTGTGCGCACAACCCAACTGGGACTGACCCGACTCCGGAGCAGTGGAAGCAGATCGCCTCCGTCATGAAGGTAACTGCCTTTTCAGGGCCGCTCTTATATTGGTGTGTATTAGCAGTTGATGTATTCAAAAGAAGCACCTATGTACTGAAGAATTTGGAAAATAGAGAAAAGCCCAAAGAAAAAAGTAAGTATTAACTATAAATTCTATTACTCAAAGAAAGCCACTGATAGCATTCTGGTATGCAGAATGTCAGGTTCTTTTCTTTTTTAATTTTTTTAGTGTAGTTATACATGCTTAAGTATGTCACATCACACATTGATTAAATCAGTTGATGGTTGTTTAGAGCCCAGGTTTCTTATTCTTGTGAACAATATATGTAATAAACCTTTTTATGATTTCTTTGGGATAACTTTCTACATTGGAATTTCTAGCTCAGGGTGTGTGTGTGTGTGTGTATTCATTAACGTGTTTAAAGAATGCTTCTTGATAAACTACTATGTACCAGGTGCCATGGGGGTACAACAGTGAACAAAGCAAAGGTGGTCCTACCTTCAGAGAGTATGGCCTGTCTGAGGAGATAGCTGTGTTGTTGGGGTGCCTTGGAGGCACATATCCCAGACTTTGGGGAGTGCGTGTGTTTTGGGAGGGCTGATGGTAGCAGAAGAAGCCTTCCTGGAAGAAATGGTTTCCCTGTTTAGCCTTGAAGGATGAGGACAGGTTGGGACTGACAGGGGAGGAAAGTTTCCTACAGAGGGAAGAACACTGTCAAAAGTCCAAGACAGAGGTCTTGGTCTGTTTAAGGAAGAGAAAGTAATTCTTGGTATGGGCTAGAGTTTCAGGGGAGGGGGTGAATGACAGGCCAGGCCCTGTGCTGAAGCCTCAGACTTGATTCTGAGGGCGGTGGGGAGCCCCTGGAAACCTTTTATATCCTGGAGTGACGTGATCAGTTGTGCCCTGTTGGCAAAGCAGCATCATGACACTCTCGGACTATATACTTAAAGAAATGAGCTTTACTGATGTCATTAGATTTGTTGCTTGGTATTTAGGTGAGCAGAGAAACAGACGTAAAGTGGAGTTGGATACAGAAAGGAAAGATGTAGGAGGAATGGACAGAATGAGACGGTCCTTCCAGGCACCAGTTGGGGAAGGAAGGCCGATGTCTGAGGTAGGTCCCAGGAGCATTTCCTGCCCTGACTCGCTTTCCTTCCTCGCAGCGCCGGTTTCTGTTCCCCTTCTTTGACTCGGCCTATCAGGGCTTCGCATCTGGCAGCCTGGAGAAAGACGCCTGGGCTGTTCGCTATTTTGTGTCTGAAGGGTTCGAGCTCTTCTGTGCCCAGTCCTTCTCCAAGAACTTCGGGCTCTACAGTGAGTGCTCTCCTGCGTTACAGCCCGGCTTCCCTGGCCCCACCCCCACCGGACCCCCAAGGCTGATTCCTGACCTTCTTTTCAGATGAGCGCGTGGGGAATCTGACGGTGGTTGCCAAAGAACCAGATAGCATCCTGCGGGTCCTTTCCCAGATGGAGAAGATCGTGCGAATCACATGGTCCAATCCCCCGGCTCAAGGAGCACGGATTGTGGCACGTACCCTGTCTGATCCTGAGCTCTTTAATGAATGGTAAGGGGCTCACGCCCGATGGGTGAGGGGTGGGGTTGCAGAACAGAGATTGTCCCATTACATCTCACTGTCTCTTCCTTTTACTTTGGCAGAGGCAGGGCAAAACTGCTTGAGCCTCTTTGAGTGTCAGTCATTTCTCTAAAATAGGGCTGGCTCCTACATGTGTGTGTAACACAGAACTGGGAGTGTAGGAAGGAGACCTTGGGTGAATGGGAGTTTCCTCTCCTCTCCCGCCTCCCAGGCTTCCTCCTCTTAAAGCAGGAAATACAGGGAGGGATTTCTGTTAGAATAGAATTAAGTTAGTGCAACAGTTTGGGGGCTCTTCATTCTTATTTAATTAATATGTATTTTATCCTATTTTGAAACAGTAATTTTTGTGTAGTAGCTGAATCTGCAATCTCTACTTACTATTAGGCCTGATAAAATAAAATATATTATTCTGTCTCGAGCAGCACCTTGCTGAAGTCTGAGTTAAAACATAAGTGGTATTACAGCCAGTCTACCCGAGACTAGCAATAAACTCCATCAGTGAATATAGTCCTTCCCTTCTGTCTAGAAAGTCCATCTCTCTGGTCTCCTTATCCACCCATCTAGGCAGCAACATACCATAATAGATAGGTTGTGATTCTGTTTTTAGCTTATAGATTAGATTACATTTTTAAAATTTTTATGTTTTTGTGTGCCATCTCTGCTGTCTGGGTTGGTATTCATATTGCTGTCCACTCAGGACAGGTAACGTGAAGACAATGGCAGACCGCATTCTGACCATGAGATCTGAGCTCAGGGCGCGATTAGAAGCCCTCAAGACCCCAGGAACCTGGAACCACATCACAGAGCAGATTGGAATGTTCAGTTTCACCGGGTTGAACCGTAAGTGGCCCCACCGCCTGGAATGCTCACCGCTGGACACAGCACTCCTTACAGTCAGTGTTCCAGGGCTTGGCTCCCTGAGCTCTCGCCCATTTGGTCAGCCATGACTTTGGACTGGAACAAGTTTGATTTTCTCAGTGTGACCCCCTCCATCTCCTGGACCCCTGGGGTTTCAGAAGAGCATTGTTGTGGCCCACTGTCCTGACCATAACTCAGATATCTTCATTTTGGTGGGCTCCGGAAGTGGCTCAGGGCTGACTGGGAAGTAATAGGATTTGTACCTTGGAAACTTCATTTATGAAACATCTTTTATAAAGGCTCAAGCACCTTTTGGCTTGTCCTTAATCTTAAGTATAAATATTATGTATGATTTTCCAGGGACTTAATTTCTTAACAGGTCTTTCCTAGTCTCCAAGCATTGCCTAGGCTATAACGTTCTCTCTTCATAAAAAAGAACTTAGATTTGTAGTTGGAATTAAAAGCCGATTGAAAGTCTAGTAGGCAGCCTTGCATGATCTTGGTCAACCATCAGTGGAGCATATCAGTGATGGGCCATCCTGTCTGATGAGAGCGGACGCGTTCATGTAGTAAATTATTCCCAAGCACCTCAAGTCAAGCCACTGTTCATGTGGTGCAGATGTGACCTCGGTGTGGCACTTGTGTCTGAGTGGCTCTAGAAACAGATATGTGCTTTTGGATAGTACGTGGACTGTCAGGGGTGCTGGGAGGTCCTATAAACCAGGACCGTCAGTGCGCCTGTTTGAAATGGGCTCAGAAAAAAGCAAAGGTGGTAGAGATTATATATTGTAGACCCACAGAGATACTTTGGGTAAAATGAGGCTACGTAAGAAAGTAAACAGATAGCTTAGTTAACCTTGGGCGTCCTCACCATCCTGGTGTGGGGAATTAGTGCATTGGACTAAGGAAAATCATTCTTATACAATTTTTAAGATATTAAGTGTAATGGAATGGTAGTAGTAGTAAAATGGAAATGGCTTAGTAGTAATATTCTGAAAGCTCACAAGGTGGAGATGTCTTTCCATAAAATATCCATATTGTCCTGCTGTTCAGAGTAGGGACTTAATTTTATTATGGATTGGAAAATGGTGAGAATAAACGTAGGCTTATAACATAAAGCTACATATTTAGAACTTGACATCATTTACCACCCCCTCCTTTAAAAAGAAAGAGGAGGGTTCTTTTTTTTGTTCCCAACATTTTATTAGGAAAAATTTTAAACATACAGAAAAGTTGGTGGAATTATACAGTGAACTCCATGTGCATACCACCTAGTTTTTACAGTTCTCATGTTGCAGAGCTTCCTTTACTACATCTATCAGAACAGGGGCTTTCATCCTGAAATGATATTTTTAAAATTGTGTTTGTGTATGTTACCCTTTTTTTAGGGAAGGAGTCCCTAAATTTTACTTGCTTCTCAAGTGTGGTACTCCCCTACCCCACAAAAGAAGAGGAGTTTTGTTTCTGTTTAAAAAGAGAAGGTGAAAGTCCTGTATCCACATCTACCTCTGGGGCATGGGCTTAACAAGTGTGCTCTTTGGGGAGTTACAGGGCCTGCCTTAAAATTCCAGATCCAGCGACTAGCTTTGTAGCCTTGGGATGGTCATGTAACTTCCATGTGTAAAAGGGGGGTGATAACTGAGCTAATATAAAGTGCTTGGAACACTGCCTGGCACAAAGTGTTTGCTCCTCTGATGATTATGATTTTATTACCATGTTAGTCTGCTTGGGCTGCTGTAGCAAAATGCCATAGACTAGGTAGTTTAAACAACAGAGGTTTGTCTCTCACAGTTCTGGAGACTGGGAAATCTTAGCTCAGAGTGCCAGCACCATCAGGTTCTGGTGGGGGTTCTCTTCCTAGCTTGTAAATGGCTGTCTTCTTGCTGTGTCCTCACGTGGAGTGGAGGAGGGAGGGACAGAAGGGGAGAGAGAGAGAGCTCATCCGTGAGTAGGCTGTCTGGTCTCCTTTTAGAAGGTCACTGCTCCCATCACACGTGCTCACCCTCATGACCTCATCTAAACCTGCCACTTCCTAATACCATCACATTGGGGGTTGGGCTTCAACGTATGAATAGTCCATAACTATTAATATTATCCTGTTCTCTCAAACTGATGGTGTCTTAAGGGTGCTAATTACTTAAGGGGAAAAAAATCACCTAAAATCCACTAAATGGCTTTATAATAAATCAAAAAAGCTCTAGATATTATGACAGAAAGGAAGTACAGACAGTCCCTTCCCATTTTGTCCACAAGTGTTTCTGCAGACTCAGGGGAAAGCCCTCCTGCATGTGTGTGATTGACAGTTGAGATGCACCAGGCCTGAGAGGTCTCACAGTTTTCAGCCTGTGAGTTCAGGTACACAACATTTATCCAGTAGCTCTCATCTCAGGGCCTTGTCCCGTGTACTGTGAAAATGAAGTGTCAAAGTGAAGTTGCTCTAGGTGCTCAGAGTTAAGCAAATACAGTTGAAGAAACATAAATGAAGTGATTCTTAACAGTTTTTCATATCAGTGGGTTGGTCTTGAGTCTGTGGGTTTGGTTGAGTGGATGGGCTGTCCAGGGGAATGTACCCGCCAAGGTTTGATGGACAGGTAGTCCCAGATTAACATTCCCATCAGGAAAAACCATGTTAAGCTTTCTGGGGATTAGAAAGTCAGCTCATGAGAGTAGCTTCCAGAATCTGTTGGGCGTTACTTCTTGCTGTGGCACACTAACAAAATAACTCCTGTTGTTTTGCTTCTCTGTGAAGGCGGAAAGAAGGAAATTGTCACTATAATGGGCTCTTTGGACCTCCATGGCTTAAGGATTCCTTCTGCTCTAATTACATGTCTTTTTTGGTTTTCAACAGCTAAGCAGGTTGAGTATCTGATCAATGAAAAGCACATCTATCTGCTGCCGAGTGGTCGGATCAACATGTGTGGCTTAACCACCAAAAATCTAGAGTATGTGGCCACCTCCATCCATGAAGCAGTCACCAAAATCCAGTGAAGAAACTGCACTCAAACCAGCACCACCAAAGCGGTCCTCTGTTTCATGTGTTCCCTGCCCGCACAGACCTGGTTGTAAACATCACAACTAGATTAGAGACTACTGAGGGACAGAAAAGGCTACTCTGGTGAAGTGGCTTCTGTTTAAACTGGCCCCACGGGAAAAGAACATCTCTTGAAAATAGGGGCCTGGGATTAGAGCCATTTTGGAGGTCAGAGCAAATTAAGGTTTTTATTTGAGAAGAATAAAAAGGTACTTTGATAATGAAACATAAATGTCTTGCCCCCTTGCTGGAAGCGGGAGTATTGCCCATGTCACTCACATGCTCCCATGTGTTGGTTTACTTTGTATCAAGTCCCAGAGATGAAGTTGTCTGAAGAGCCAAGTGTGATTGTGGGTGTTGGCTGTGTCATTAAAACTCGTCATCTCGACCCAGAGTGTCTGTCTCCCTGCTTTTTCTGCATGGTTGTGTCCCTAGCCCTATGCTTGAATTCTTTAGGGTGATCAAAGTAAGAAATATATTTATATCTCACCCACACATTTAACTGAGATAAAAGTTTCACAGAATAGTATCTACCCTTGCTATGTGTAGTAGATTCTGTTTTCTCTTCTATCATGTTCTATTTCACTAAAGTAATAAAAGTAAAAGTGCTGATTGAGACCCATGGACTTGATTTTGTCATCCTCTAATGGGTTGTAACCCACAATTTAAAATGAATGCTATGGTGGGACTTATCAGTTGCCAAAGAAAATACTCAAATGTATTCTTGTGGTCTGCCTCCCTTTGTGAACTCACCATCCCACAGACTCTTGTCAGTGTCCTTCAGAGGCCAGCCATCGTCTTATATTACATAAGAAACTGAGCTTCATGGATTCATAGAACGGTTGACATCACTCAGGGTGATTCTAAAACACAATCCCTCCCACTGTAGCTGGAGTACCTCTTAGTCTATTGAAACGATTAGAGCCACTTAGACATAGATCATATTCTTTCAGGGAGTCCAAGGGCCTCTCCAGATGATGGTTTAGTAGAACTTCAGCCTTACCTCAAACAAGAGGGCTACTACTTGGCATTTTAAAATATTGAAAAATAACTCTTGTTATGTTAACAGGATCTGCTATGTCATCCTGCTACAAGATCTGTTAACAGGCATCCTTTTTAGGATGCCTTTGAGTTCTAAAATCCTATAGATTTTTAGAATATATTTGCCATGCATATCACTGACAAAGGATTACTATTCTGAATTACAAAGGATTATAATCCAGGATTTTTTATTTTAATTTTTAAAATCCTACATATTAAACATTAGAAGAAAAATACAAATACTGTTGGAAAAAATGAACAAAGGACATGAATGGGTAATTCAGAGGGTATCAGAGCTGTGTGCATTAATGAGGGTAAAGCTCACGGATAATTCTAAGTGGATGAAAGGTGAAATGTGATGCCATTTATGAGACCATTTCTTAAAATGTGCTGCATACTGTAGTTGCTTATGAGTACATACGTATGTAGTAAGTTTTAAAATATAGGTAGGAAAGGTATACCTCAATCTCAGGAAAGTGGTTACCAGTGAGGAGAAAAGGAGTAAGACAGTGAGATGCTTCACCTGTAATTAATATTTTTTTTAAAAATTACATATGTAAGGGAAATCTGAGGGGCTTCCCCAGTGGTCCAGTGGCTAAGACTCCACGCACCCAATGCAGGAGACCTGGGTTCGATCCCTGGTCAGGGAACTGTACCCCATATGCTGTAACTAAGAGTTTGCACGCTGCAAGTAAAAGATCCTGCATGCCACAGCTAAGGTCGAGGGCTCCCTGTGCTACAACTAAGACCTGGTGCAGCCAGATAAATAAAACTGAATATTTTAAAAACAAAGGTCTGAGGAAAGACTTTATTGAATATGATTTATTGTCAGGCCCTATTCCAAGACCTTTATATATATCTATGTAGGTTCACTAAATCCTCAATGATAAATCAATGCAGCGGGCATTAATGTTAATCTTCACTGTCCACCGAGGAGAAAACAGGCACAGTGAATCAAGTGACTTGCCTAATACCAGTATCAGTCACATGACTCACAGGTGATAGGGATCTGAAGCCAGGAAGTCTGGCTTGGAGTCCACAAGTTTAACCTGTTACTTAACCCTCCTACAGCAGGAAGGCTGAGTGCCGAGCAGCTCTCAGGGTCTCCCAGCGTGGCCTGTGACTCGCTCAGCGTCAAGGGCAGAGTAGACTACAGGGCTTTCTCTGTCAGAATTCAGTCTTTCTGAAGCCTCATCTGAAACTCTTCCCTTAGTGACTCAAAAAGGTACAAGGTGACCACGTTTATCCAGGGCCGTCTCCTTCACTTGCCTCCCTTCCTGAAAATACCTGTCCAGTTTTTCACTCTTCCCTCACAGGAAGAGGGAAGACACTCCTCACCAATTCCTATCCCTCACCAGTTCCTTCAGCATCTACCTGAAATAGGACACCATGTATCTCCTTCTGGTTCTTGATTTGGCAAAGGACACAGCAACCCCTTTGCCTTTGAAGGGCAGAACCACACATCTCTACCCAAGAAGCCAGTTATACTAGAAGCAAACGTTCCCTCAGTGCAAGGCAAGAACTCTCCATTCCTCATACCTGATCAGCAGTGGCTAGAAGCCTCATTTGGACAAATCTCATGTTACAATGGAGGATTCTGGAAGGAATGGAAGACAGTGGGAAGTCACCGGAATCCATCACCATCTCCCAGAGCTTGCTCAAATTCATGTCCATCGAGTTGGTGATTCCATCCAGCCATCTCATCCTGTCATCCCCTTTTCTTCCTGCCTTCAATCTTTCCCAGCATCAGGGTCTTTTCCAATGAGACAGTTCTTCACATCAGGTGGCCAAAGGATTGGAGCTTCAGCTTCAGCATCAGTCCTTCCAATGAATATTGAGAACTGATTTCTTTTAGGATTGACAGGTTGGATCTCCTTGTCGTCCAAGGGACTCTCAAAAGTCTTCTCCGACACCACAGTTCAAAAGCATCAATTCTTCAGTGCTCAGCTTTTTGGTCCAACTCTCACATCCATACATGACTACTGGAAAAACCATAACTTTGACTATATATAGACCTTTGTTGGTAATGTCTCTGCTTTTTAATATGCTGTCTAGGTTTGTCATAGCTTTTCTTCCAAGGAGCAAGTGTCTTTTAATTTCAAGGTTGCAGTCACCATCTACAGTGATTTTGGAGCCCAAGAAAATAAAGTCTCTCACTGTTTCTATTGTTTCCTCATCTATTTGCCATGAAGTGATGGGACCAGATGCCATGATCTTAGTCTGAGCCCCTAGGGAAGCATCTTAGTCCTCATGACTATCACAGATAATCCGGAGGCACTTCACACCCACTCCTTACATGAGGCTGAGGCTCACATGACCACTGCCAGAGTCATGGGGCTGTCTTAGAATGGGAAGGTTCTGGGCGGGGGGTGGGGCACCCAACACCTCAGCCTGGGGCTCATTCTGAGGCTTAGCAACCTGCAGGAGCCCCTGGAGCACAGGTACATGGCTGCTGCTGCTGCTGCTAAGTCGCTTCAGTCGTGTCTGACTCTGTGCGACCCCATAGATGGCAGCCCACCAGGCTCCGCCATCCCTGGGATTCTCCAGGCAAGAACACTATCCTATAAATCTTGTTAAGTCAGCATGTCAGGAACACTCAGTGTTGGGCTGCATCCCACAGGCCTGCAAGCCCTGTACTTACCCAGCCTTAAGACAAAAACAATAAAATTTTACAGTCCTTTTTTTTAATTAAAAAAAACTGGCTGCATTGTGCTGCATGTGGAATCTTAGTTTCCCAACCAGGGACCAAACCTGCACCCCTTGCAGAGGAAGCGTGGATTCTTAATCACTGGACTGCAAGGGAAGTCCCTAAAATGCTAGTCTTGAGGGCTGATCAAGATCTTAGAAGTCATCAGCTGCAGCCTCTCTCTCCCAATGAAAGGGTCTCTTCCGTGTTGTCCCTGACTCATCAGTTTCAACTGGGTTGGGTGGGGGGTTGTGTTCTTTCAATACTTGGTGAAACATCCATTTTACTGTTGGAGCATTTTCATTAAAGAGGTCTTTTACTTTGATCCAGAATTTGATTGCCATCTACCCTATCCCCTGGCTCCCCTCCTTCCTTCCTTTAAATGACACACACTAAATCTTCGGGTACTTCTGATTGATGACCCTTCAAATATTTGAGAGTACTAGTTGGTATTCCTTGCTTTTGCTTCTCCAAGTGAAACTCCACCCTCCATGATGCTTCAGTGTTTCTGCACAGATTATGGCTTCTATATCCTTCACCACCCGGCTCGTTCCTTGGAGTCCTTCAGTGAACTTGTGTCGGTGCGTGACTGGGTCTGGAGGATGTGAATGGATATGACCTCACATTCATCTCTTTATTACCTTTCATTTTATTTTTCTTTCTATCAATGTTTGTTCTCCTTCCTATTTAAAGATGCTTGCCCTTCATAAGGGAATGAGAAAAACTGGAGTACAGTGATTTCTACCTTCTGTCAATCTATCATTCTTCCCAAACATAGCTCTATACTGAATTCTAGACAGGGGTGATAGGACCTCTGAGGTGGCAAAGATTGGTTCATGAGGGCAAAAGAAAGTCTAAAATATTAAAGTGGTTTTGTGGTCTTCCAAAGCAAAACCCTACTTGACAAAATCTTATTTCTGGGTATCTTAATTTATCAAAATCTTAATTTCTCTTGTTGGGCAGAATTTGAATTGAGTATTTCTCTCTGGGGGGATTGCTAATGAAAAACCAGTTGGAAACACTTCTTTAAGCCAAAGTATACTTACCAAAGTGCTCAAATGTTTTTAGCATATAAAGAAGTCCCAATCTCATGAGAATCTGGCCTTCTTAATTCTCTTGTTACATGTCTATTCCCTGCAGTGTGTTCCTTTTTCCCACTAGTGTTCACACGAATGGCCTTGGGTAAGTCTGGGAAAAGCTGGCCTTAGCCAGTTACACAAGGTTCTTTACTGCAGGGCTTCTCCGCGTGCCTCGACATGCGGGCACGCTCGTTTCTTTCTCAAAACCACCATGGGAAGGAGCATGGTCCCTGGCCTGTGTCACAGTTTGTGAAATAAGTTATGAATCGCTCAAGGTTCCATGGCCATGAAGTGGTGAAGACTAGGAGCATGAGTGCTGGGCCGATCCTACCTTTGAAGTTCACATAGAACCCTCAACAAAATAGTTATTAGTATCATTTATTTAAGGCTTCCCTTACGGCTCAGATAATAAAGAATCTGCCTGCAATGCAAGAGACCCGGGTTTGATCCCTGGGTTGGGAAGATCCCTTGGAGAAGGGAAAGTCTACCCACTCTAGTATTCTGGCCTGGAGAATTCCATGGACAGAGGAGCCTGGCGGGCTATAGTCCATGGGATCGCAAAGAGTCGGACATGACTGAGCAATTAACATAACATAATTTATTTACTGTTAATGAAATTTAGGAGCTTCCCAGCTGGTGCTAGCAGTAAAGAACCTACCTGCCAATTCAGGGGACATAAGAGATGCAGGCTTGATCCCTGGGTTGGGAAGATCCCCTGGAGTAGGAAATGGCAACCCACTCCAGTTTTCTTGCCTAGAGAATACCATGGACAGAGGAGCCTGGTGGGCTACAGTCCAGGGGGTTTCAAAGAATCGAACACTACAGAGCATGTGCGCACAGTGAACTTTACAGCCTGTGGGCAGCTCCTGGGAAGAATCTCAAGCAGTCCTGGTGCAGGTCACTCACTAATTGTTCTGTGTGCTGGTTGGAGACAGTAGTAGGTGAGAGATTCCAACCTTCCACAAAGTCCATAAATACTTCAATGACTGCCCACCTGTTGGTTGTCCCTTTGTTCCTGTCTTGGTTTATAACTACTCAATAAGCCCTCCCTGCTCTCTTGTTCCTTTTCCCAGCGTCTCTTTGGAAATCACTGGAAGTGGGCTACTTTGGCTCCTCTCCAAAGGGCCTGCAGAAGTGAGCCAGCGAGCACATTGCTTCAAACGCTAGACTGGATCTGGCCCCTAAGACCTTGAACTTGGAAGGCACCCAGTCCAGTACCTCGCAAACACAGGGCTCTGAAAAATGCCAGCCCTTCTCATTTTCATCCTCATGCTCCTTTCTTGTCTAAAGTCACACTCTGGCTTCTCATCTGGGTTTTAATTTCCATTTCTGAAATTTGTTCCTGCAAGATCTTACCCATCTGACATCCCAAAGCAGAGCACAGGGCTTTCCTGTAACCTTACCTGCAACCTCACACCTGGCCTTGAGAGGAGTGCCTCTTCAAGCAGGTGGCCCTCAGGTAAGGTAATTATGTGTGTGCCCCACCCCACCCTACATCTCAAAGGAAAACCACTCTGGAACTCTGAGATGCAGGGGCAAGGAAAACAGCCATAGTCCAGGAAAAGGATTTTTATTTTATTTAAAAATTATTTACAATGTATCGAGCCTTCATAAATACTTTATTTCAAAATCCTCTTTTTTTTTTACTTTTTTTGTAACCTGGAGAAAATCTTGGGAGGGGGTGGGGTAAAGGGGGAGGAGTGGTGACAGGCTCCTGAGGAATTTTGCAAAGAGACGGGTGTGAAGCAACAGCAGTGGCCTAAGGCGTAATGAAAGGAAGACTGGCCAGGCGGAACCCTTGGGCCAGTGGCCAGCTGGGCAAGAAGACTGCGTGACTGCGCCCTTTGTTTGAAACAGCATTCACCGGTTTGGGTCAGAGGCACCCAGCACCGAGGGCTGACACTTTGGCTGTTTCTGCCAGGCAAGGGTAGGTGTTGGGGGTGGGTGGTAGCTGTGAGTTATTTACGAGAAGTCATGCACTGCTGAGCCTCAGGCAGGGCCAGGCAAAGGATGTGAAGTCAATAATACACTGCTGAAAAAGGCAAAGTCCACTTCCACATGCTGTGCCCCTCCTGTCTGCAGACACCTGCTGGGGTTTGGTGGGGACCAAGTTACGTGGGTGTATGCTGTAAATACCATAGGGTATGCCAAGGACTTCTGACGACTTCCACTTGGTGGGTGCCAGCTTTCGCCATCGATTTGATGGACACTTGGGAAGGCCATTTACAACTAAAAATCTGTCTCAAACTACCCAGTATTCACTTCATTCTGCATTGCAGAAACTCTGGGCTGAAAGTTCCACTAGTTAAACAGTGGATTTTAATACTTTGCGGGTCTGAGAACTTTGAGAATCTATGAAAGCTTTAGCCCTCTGGAAAACACAGATAAGAAGGCAGACACTAAATTCTGACAGAGTTAGGGGTTTCATAGACCCTCTGAAGTCCAACAATGGACCCCCTGGAGTGACGGATCCCAAGTTAAGAACCCCTGAGGTAAAGGTTCCCGTGGGTAAGCATTTTCTTTTGAGATGCAAATAACCCAGAGGAATTATCAGTTTCTCCACCCTCTATGTGATTATTGATTGAAAGGGTTTGGGGAAGTGGGAGTAATGGTTTTGGAGGAAGATGAGGGAAGCCTGAGAATTACATCCCCAAAGAAAAGTTAGGGAATGGTTTTGAGATGAGCACTGGATTACTGGATCCCTGATCTAGGGAACCCAATGGGTGGGGTATACATCAGAAAGGGATACAAGTGTCCCAAAGACAACCTTCACTTACTTCCACATGTTCTCTAAGGCTGGCTCTGGTTTCTCATCAGTTTACTCTTCAAGCAGGTCTGTGCAGTCATCCTGCCATCTGGTGGTTATGCTTGGAATTGCACCTGTCCCAAGTGAAGTGAAGTGAGGTTAAAGTTGATCAGTCGCATAGGAAGGATTCTCTGCGACCCCATGGACTACACAGTCCATGAAATTCTCCAGGCCAGAATACTGGAGTGGGTATCCTTTTCCTTCTCTAGGGGATCTCCAACCCAGGAATCGAACCCAGGTTTCCCGCATTGCAGGCGGATCTTCACCAGCTGAGCCACAACGGAAGCCCAACATCAGGTGAAATTGGTGTTGAATGTACCAGCCCTCTCTGGTACTTTATTCAGAGATCTGGTACGTTCTAGGAATAAAGTACACTCAGCTGACTTGATGGAGTGGAGGAAAGGGTGGAGGTGGAGGAATGGACAAAAAAGAAGAGTGATTCTTCAATGTTCCAGTGTAATACACACTGAAGCTGCATGAGAGCTTGCATCCTTCTTGGCTGACCTGGGCACTCTTTGGCTTTTCATGGCTAAAACTTTTCCACATATATATCTATATATATTTGGAATTTAAAACCTGAAGTTCCATCTCTGGCTCCCAAATGGGTTTCTCTTCTCCTTGCTCCTCCTCTTCCAGAGCAGATTTACTGATGGACTGATGACTACTAATCAGGAGCCAAAACAGATGTGTCCCTGGGAAATACAGTGACTTGAGGGTCCATCTTACATTCTTTTCATTCCAGCTGAGACACACCTCCCAGGCTGCTGGAACCCTCTTCTAACAGGAAACTGGTCACCAACAGTTTTCTGTCCTGTAACGTCACATGGCAGCATGACTGAGTCCCGCTGCTCTAATGCTCTGGAGAAATTCTTGGTGCGTCTCCCGAACTAACTCTCCTACCTGCTGCCCCAGCCTCCTTTGTTCTCACCTGCCAGTGGCACCTTTTGACCTAAGGGAAGCATGAAATATGGTGCCAAGGGACACCAAGGAACAGGAAGTGCATCAGGGGTCCTAGAGTGGCATTATCAGCCTGGGGTCATTTCTTCTTCAGTCCCAGACTGTGCTATGGACGAGATCATTTTTAGCATGTTCCATTGAGGCACCTCCTTCCGTCACAGCCACCGCAAGGCTCTGAGTCAAACTGGAGGTGATGAGAGAAAATCTGCCACACTGACGGCTAGGGGTGAAGAGGTGGTAAAGAAAGCAGTACGCTCTGTCACCAGTGGGAGGCCTTGGGGAGAAGCAGACGACGACGGGAGGATGGGTTCTCCCCAGAGCTCTGGAATCTCACGCCCCCAGTGGACGCTGACAACCCTGTCATGTGATGAGAGGCGTTAAGTTGGAGTTCTCCTCAGAGGTTCTCTCTCCATCTGGTGACCTCTTCCTTTTTCGACCACCTGAAAAACACAGTTTCTAAGGGTCAATCTGTAAGGCTGGGAGAACATGAGTACTCTCTCAGAGGCCCAAGCGTTCTTCAAAATAGAAACAGGAATGGAGACAAAGCCCTCGATAGTTTGGCAGTAGCCTGCATTGTCTCCAGGTGCTAATATCAGCATATGCACATCTTGAAGGGTTAGAATGCCCCTTCCACCTGAGATGACATCTCCAAAAAGCTACACGTCCAGATTAGTGCCAATGGATCGAAGATTTCCTGGACGGGATCGAGCGAAGCCCACACAGTGTCCCAGGAGCATGCCTCCTCATCCCCAGCTCAAATGGTTGCCAGACACCCTCAGAGAGAAGACTGGTCTCACGGACTTTGATGTCCCTGAGCCAGAGGTGGTGGCTGTAGCTGGGAGCCATCCCCAGGGACCTACACTCTCTAGATCAGAGGCAACCTCTCTTCTGCATTGGGGTATGTGGGGGTGGAGGGTACTCTGTTCCCAGCTCCATTGTTTTTAGAAAGGAGTACTTTTCACCTTGTTCTCCCTGCCATGGACTTCCTTCCACAGAGGATATTGCTCTCCTTTTTATTGAGTTTCCTGAACACAAATTTTCTTTAAAAGACCAAGTTGTAAGTATTTTAGGTTTTGCAGGCCATTTGGTCCCTGTTGCAACTACTCGACTGCCGTTGTGGCCATCAATGACTAGTGGGTTCTATGATCCAATAAAGTGAAAGTGAAAGTGTTAGTTGCTCAGTTGTGTCTGACTCTTTGCGACCCTATGGATGGTGGCCCGCCAGGCTCCTCTGTCCATGGAATTCTCTAGGCAAGAATACTGGAGTGGGTTGCCATTCCCTTCTCCAGGGGATATTCCCAACCCAGGGATTGTACCCAGGTCTTCCCACATTGCAGGCAGATTCCTTACTGTCTGAGCCACAGGGAAGCCTCCTTATTTTTTATAGGAATGGGCAGGGGAGGAGGCCAGGATTTGATCTGTGGCCATGGTTTACAGACTCCTGCCCTAGACAACTACACATTGAATGGGACAGACGCCCAAACTATCAAGGGTGTAGTACCTGCTCAAACTCCATTACAGGTTTCCACAATTGTACCTCACTTGGGTTCCCAAAAGGAGTCAATGGTTTCTCCTTCAGGAGTAAGATCCTAGCATGTTTTTCATACTAACCAGCTGGTGGGTGGTTTTCATCCTGGTAAAGAAGTACTCACTCAAGGTTCTCAGCAACTTCTTGCCCATGGTTTCCTCCAAGTCGCTGCTGCAGGGGCTGGTCTCTGTGTCCAGGTTGATGTGACAACATTCACTATCTGATGCTGAGAAAAAGAAAAGAAGAAAGAACACAAGCCTTTCCACCAGAACACCCAGGGATCCAGGTAGGGTGTTTTTTGCCAATGCTCCTCGGCAGGTGAAAGCTCAAAACCAGAGCCAAGGAAGTGGTGGCTGTAACATAGAAGAGATGTCCAGGAAGACAAAGGCTCTAATTACTTAGCAAGAGGCTTTTTAGGGCCACAAAAGGAACTAAGAAACAAGGGAAGAGGAGCAAGAATCCAACTCTCCTAGCAATGTTAGGTCAGACAGAGACGAGAACAAGAGCACTTCCACTCAGTATCTGCCAGATAAGAAGCACCTTGGAGGACAGGTTGAGTGTCACCTTCACCTTTCTCTCCTTGCATGAACCCTGAAAAAATCACAGGGCTCAATAACAGCTAAGCTCATGTGCTTTCTTCTTCCACCAAACTGAGGGGGGATTCAGAGAACTGCCAGATCTGAGAGCTGGAAAGGGACCCAGGCCCTGACCACCAATGCCTCTGAATCTCACTGTGGAGGCACATGGTGTGGTGGATTGGACAAGTCATTTCCCTTCTCCAGGCGTAGGCCCTCATGTGTCATAAGAGGAGGATGGACTGGAATAATCTCCAAAGACTGGCCCATCTCCTCTATTCTCATTCCTTTGATATCATTCCTTGCTACATGTGTTAGCTATTAAAATCCATCATTCTAAAACCATCATTCTAAATTCAGGTCCTGGAATTGTGATTACACATATCCTAGATTTTCTGAGTTAGCCACAAGTTCAAAAATGTTGTCTCACTGACTTCAAAAGTCTATGAGCACTTGTCAGGTCACTGCTCTGGACTTGAGGGATCTCAGTCTTGTGGACTGGGGTGAGTCTGGAGGCAGGATGGGTGCTGGCCTTGGGGTTGTTGGTGTGTGTGTGGGGGGGTGCAGAATACATGGAGATGATTAGCTTGATGATTAGCAGGCAAGCATAGAAGGATCTCAGGACTGGTGGGACGCTGGGAGCTTGGAGCAACACTGCAGTCAAGACAGGAGTATTCAGTGTCTCCATGGGAGGTGCTATGACCTCAGAGATCAGGACAGATCCTACAGATTACTGCTAGTCTCAGGGGCTCAAAGAAGGGGAAGAGCCCTGCCAGTAAGAGCAAAGGCTGACCTCAGTTTCCTAATCTATGTGCTCAATTGCTCATTCGTGTCCAACTCTTTGAAACTCCAAGGATTGTAACCTGCCAGGCTCCTCGGTACGTGGGGATTCTCCAGGCAAGAATACTGGAGTGGGTTGTCAAGCCCTCCTTCAGGTGATCTTCCCAACCCAGGGATTTAACCCAGGACTCCTGCATTGCAGGTGGATTCTATACTGTCTGAGCCACCAGGGAAACCCTTCCTAATCTATAAATTAAGCCTAATAATAACTTCCTAATATTTAGGGAGCACGGTACCAGTACTGTGATGCACCCTCCTATAAATGTTATTTCATTTGTGCTCAAAGCTACCCACCGTGAAGCAGCCACCGTGATTTTTATCTAGTAACATAAGGAAGAATGGGTTTCCTTGGATGCTCAGTGGTAAAGTACCCGTCTGCTAATGCAGGGGATGTGAGCTTGATTCTGGGTCGGGAAGTTCCCCTGGAAAAGGAAATGGCAACCCACTCCAGTATTCTTGCCTAGGAAACACCATCGTCAGAGAAGCCTGGTGGGCTACAGTCCACGGGGACGCAAAAACGTCAGACATAACCGAGCGACTGAAAAAAAACAAACATAAGGAAAGATATCTATTAAGCTAAGGAAACCGAGTCTTAGGTTAGAGTAACTTGCCTAAAGTTGCCGAACTCCTAAATGGGGAAGCCAGGGTCTGAATCCAGGTGGAAACCTAGCTAACAGTGTTCTGAGAATAAACGACCGCGGATCTAATGCCTGGGAGGTCCACAGTAAACCTTAGTGTTCCTTCCCTGGTAGCATAAGGAGGTGGGGAGCTTTACGTGGGGGCTATGGTCCCATACTTCTCTCACCTGGCTCACCTGGGGCCATACCAGGACCCAATGGCCTTGACCCATCCCCCCTTTACTTCCACGGGACTCAGCTTCCCTCCCTCCCCGACCTGCTCTAGCGGGCACAGCGGCAGGAGACAGTGAGAGCTGTTGCGTGTTCTGCTCCTCAAAGTCGGTCATTTCCTCCCGGGTGAAGGCCATCTCCTCCATCCGCAGGTACACGACCTCGCCGGGGCTTCTCAGCCCATCTGAGCGGCTGCCTGGGGAGGACAGTAAGTGTATCACCTCGCTGGTCTGGAGACCTGAGGCCCCCTGAGAAGACGCTGCAGCTCTGGGCGGGGCCGAGCAGGGAGGCGGGGCCGAGCAGGGAGGCGGGGCCGAGCAGGGAGGCGGGGCCGAGCAGGGAGGCGGGGCCGAGCAGGGAGGCGGGGCCGAGCAGGGAGGCGGGGCCGAGCAGGGAGGCGGGGCCGAGCAGGGAGGCGGGGCCGAGCAGGGAGGCGGGCCTTCCCCACCCTACAGCGGCCTAGTTCATCACCTCCCAACTGGCTTACACGGCAGGCTGCTCCGGTGGCTCAGGAGGGTGGCAGCAGGGTCATCCTTGGGAGTCTGGGGTGTGCCCCGGGTCGTGGAGGCCTCCATGTCGGGGGACTGAGGTGAGCTCTCCATGTGGCAGGCGGTGAGCGCGTTCTGGTACTGCTGCCGTGTGATCTGGAAGATGGAGGCACAGAGCTGGGTCGAGGTTCAGGAGAAGCTGGGCAGAGCCCTCCCTGGACCTGGCTCACCTTCCTGAGCTCAGAAGCACCCCCGCTAAGGTGCTTTGGAACCTTTGGCCTTGGTGGCCTGGGATCCATGTTCTGGGGCCCAGCAGCTAAGGGGCAAAGAGGGAACCCCTTTGCCAACAGCGTTCTTCTGTTCATTTTTATTGGCTCTGGACTCTTACACCTGGAGGAGCCTTCTCCTGAGACCCAGGAGAGGATGGAAGGCCCTTCAGTTAGCAGGCGGTTGCCCATGGAGAGGTTTAAAACACAGGCTTATGTTGTTGCCAAGGGCCCTCTTCCTAAAGGGCAGTCAATGAGGACTCAGCAAGAACAAGATCCCCCACTTGTGTAGAGGCTGAAATAAGAAACCTCCATATGAAGAACATAAGCTTTGGCAAAACCACAGATGAAGTCAATTTATTACTACTGTTTTTTTCTAATGCCTTCCATAATCATATAGGAATCCATTTGATAAATCCTTCAAGAAAGTAGTGCCAGGAAGAAGCTCCTTTCTGTAGATGCATTATATACTTCCTTATATTGAATGAGGACTCAAATATCCACTAGGTTTCTTTTTTTTCCTTTTATGACAGGAAGCTCACAAATCTATTTATTTGCAGTAACAAACTCATTCCTGATTTGCACCAAATTTGGCTTGTAATCTCAACTTTTATTTAAAACATCACTGGGTTATTTATTTTTGGAAATCCTATATATTATTGGAAGTGCTACAAATATACTAAAGAGATGGAACTGATGATTCGATTTTCAGACATTGGTGAAGGCTCTAGTGCTAATGTTATGCAGAAGAGTTTGCTTTTGCAGACAGACATTGGAATATGAGAATAAAACCTTCCATCCATTTAGTGCATTATGGCTTACAGAGTACTCAGGAATGCATTATCTCCTTTGGGCACCATGGCTGCAAGGGGGTAAGCATGAGAGGTCCTGTGATGCCCATTTTACAAATAAGGAAATGAAGTTCAGAAAGGTTGGGGATTTGCCTAAGGTTTGACAGTTAGCAAACCTTCAGAGTGCCAGCCCTGAGATGTGCATTCTATTTGGGAAAGTGCTATTCATTCTCAGGGGCCAGGAGATGGAAGGCGCGGTGGGACTGTAGAACTCCAAGTTCTCTGAGGAGAAATTCCAGGGTCTGATAATGGGTAGGATCTGCCCGTGCAATCTGGGCATTTTAGTTTAAAGGGCCTTTACTCTTGCTGTCCAGGGGAAAGCATCTGAGCTCACCTCTGTACATTGTAAACGCACCTGGCTGCATTAGGCTGCCTTTCACAAAACTTTAGGGGAGGTCCCTCCAAAACTGCTATGTTGTTTTGGGGGTCCATAGGCATCAGATGGGAGAAGGCAATGGCACCCCACTCCAGTACTCTTGCCTGGAAAATCCCATGGATGGAGGAGCCTGGTAGGCTGCAGTCCATGGGGTTGCTAAGAGTTGGACACGACTGAGTGACTTCACTTTTGCTTTTCCCTTTCATGCATTGGAGAAGGAAATGGCAACCCACTCCGGTGTTCTTGCCTGGAGAATCCCAGGGACGGGGGAGCCTGGTGGGCTGCCATCTATGGGGTCGCACAGCGTCGGATACGACTGAAGCGACAGCAGCAGCAGCAGCAGGCATCAGATGACTGAAGAGAAGTAAGACACATGGTCTGAGCCAAAGTTATTATCAAAACTCAGTCTTCTAATGTTACCATGGGTTTCTAAAAATGAAGCTTTCTTGGGAGTCTTGAAGGTTCTCCTGGCTTAAAAGACAGGAAAATGTCCTAAATGACTCTTGGTAAGCCCAACAAAGCACTTGATATTATTCTATTTGGGTTCTTTTAACTAGTTAGTTTAGATTTGGCTTCCAGTTTAGTTCCCTGGTGACTCAGATGGTAAAGAATCTGCCTGCAATGCAGGAGACCTGAATAAATCTCTGGGTCAGGAAGATCTGGAGAAGGGAATGGCTGCCAACTCTAGTATTCTTGCCTGGAGAATTCCATGGGCAGAGGAGCCTGGCGGGCTACATATAGTCCATGGGGTCCCAAAGAGCTGGACATGACTGAATGACTAACACTTTCACTTTTTCACTTTTAGTTAAAGACCAAATGATTCTTCGCCTAAAAAATATGGTGTGAAACACACTGTCTATTCAAGACAAAGACATTGGGCAATGCCTTGGTTACCTGCTCTAGGGATTTCACAGCCTTGCTTTCACAATGCTTCCTCTTTTAAGTTAGAAAAGTCACAAACAAATATGATGTCAATAAAAATGAAAGTTGCTCAGATGTGTCTGACTCTTTGCGACTCCATGGACTGTTGCCTGACAGGATCTTCTGTCCATGGAATTCTCCAGGCCAGAGTACTGGACTGGGTAGCTGTTTCCTTCTCCAGGGGATCTTCCCAACCCAGGGATCGAACCCAGGTTTCCCAAATCGCAGGTGGATTTTTTACCACCTGCATCAAAGTGTCACTTTAAAAGAAATTTGAGAAGGCACTAGCCAAATGTATTCAGGAAATCTCCCCAGCTGCATTTCTAGATTCAAGCATCACTTTTTGTCAGTTCCCTCCTCCTGTTCACCTGTGAAGCCTCTTCTACCTAGCACAGTACTATCCAAGAAAAATATAATGTGAGATCACGTAGGTAAATTTTTTTTTTGGCCGAGCAGCATGTGGGATCTAAGTTGCCTTACCAAGAATTGAAATTATGCCCCCTGCATTGGAAGCACAGAATCTTAACCACTGGACCACTAGGGAAACCCCCACATAGGTAATTTAAAATTCTCTAGTTGTCAAGTTTTTAAAAAAGTAAAAGCAAACAGGTGAAATTAATTTTATATATTTCATTTAACTTAACATATCCAAAATAGCTTCAGTTCAATGGTCACCAATATAAAATAATTAATGAGGAATCTTACATTCTTCTTTGTATCAAGTCTTTGGAATCCAATATGTATTTTATATTCTAGCAAACCTCAGTTTGGATGAGCCACATTTCATATGCTCAACAGCCACATATGACCACTGGATTCTGTATCAGACACTGACGGTCCAGCAGATCAACTAAATAGCTCTGCCCAGTTTTGACAATCCAGCCTTGCATGGCCACAGTGTCCCACTGCTTGCCAGCACAGAATCACTGGTCTGGCTCAGCCCCTTTTACATTCCTTGAGTGCACCATATTCACTTGCCTTCCTTACCCCTTCCTTCCCTCTCCCTTTTGGCCTTGCCTTCCCTCGCCTTTTAGTCTTTCTTAATTGTTAAAGGTCCAGTGCATTCTCCAGCCAATACAGTGCTTAAAATAAAGTGTCATATGATTTCATAATCAATTAGAAACTACCCTGCATTGGTCACTGTCATTTGACTTATGGTTCTTTTCCCCAATTATATTTCTTGATTACAGCTCATGATGCCTAGAACCATTGTTAACTGCTTACGAAATACTGACTGGCACCAAGCGAATGAAACCACTGTTCAAAGGACCCCATCTTCTTATTCTCTCTTCACTACACAAGCTACCATTTCTTAGCAATAGCTTGAGTTCAGGTTGTCTTTTACTCTAGCCAGTTAAGAACTCAAGTGTCCTCTAAATTACAAAAGAAATGGAGATCAGTTGATCTTGAAACTAACAGGAATTAAGGGTACACTTTGGGACATTTTGACTTAGCAGTCAATGCATCCATAAGTTCACCTTTCAGCCAGAGTGATGTTTCCAATCCTCTTATGGTGTTCTGCTTACATTTTCAACTCTCGGGTGGTTTACTCATCCCTCAAGGGCTTCCCTGGTAGCTCCTTGGTAAAGTATCCACCTGCCAGTTCTCAAGATGAGGGTTTAATCCCAGGTCAGGAAGATCCCCTGGAGATGGAAATGGCAACCCACTCCAGTATTCTTGCCTGGGAAATCCCATAGACTGTAGAGCCTGGCAGGCTATAGTCTGTGGAGTCGCAGAGGAGTTGGATACAACTTAGCGACTAAACAGCAACAGAAATTCATCCCTCAAAACACAATTTTGCAATTTAGAGATTCTGCCTCCAGATGGTGATGGGGCATCTTTGCCATGGTTACACAATTCAGGTTATACAACATCTGTCAAATGTTCTTAATTTAAAGATGATATTAATATTTGTTGAATACATTAAAGAATTCCTAAAGATTCTTTGGTACCTTCGTAACTTATTAACTCCTATTAATCATGGCTTTGGGGCTTTCCCGGTGGCTCAGTGGTAAAAAATCTGCTTGCACTGCAGGAGACTTAGGAGATGAGGGTTCGATCCCTGGGTTGGGTTGATCTCCTGGAGGATGGCATGGCAACCCACTCCAATATTCTTGCTTGGATAATCCCATGGCCAGAGAAGCCTGGTGGGCTACAGTCCATAAGGTCACAAAGAGTCGGACAGGACCGAAGCGACTGAGCATGCGCACACACACACACAAACACAAACAAACACAGACACAATCATGGCTTTAATACCTTTCCCAGATACTCACTGGATATTGGCTATACCTTTCTTTCTAATTTTATATTGAACTCAAATTACGCCTGGACTTAATGAACAGTTCTAGAACTTAGTCTGTTGGACAGGAAAAGCCTCTGCAGTCAGTCATAGGGGCTTAGGCCAGTGAAATCACCCTTGAGCTTTCTCAAAAACTCTTCGTATTAAAAAAAAAAAGGTGGGCTTGAGGAGGTGAGTAAAAGAGCAACCTGAACATGGCCCTAAAAGTCCATTCAGTCAGGAAAAAAATGTCATCTTATATTAAAAAACAAAACAGAAAAATCAAACCCTTAGGTTAAACAAGAGCTTGAACTTACAATGTTCCCTTCTGTAGAACAACCCATTGCAACTGAAGTTTTTAAGTGACTTGAACCACAAGTTGAAAGAGATTTCTGAATAATACTTTACTAGGTTTCTAGCCTTCCCTAAACTTCTACTGACAGGTAGCTTTCTCAATTTCAAAATATCTAGGTAGACAAAAGGACCATGTGCAGTGATGCCCCGCTGCCCCAGTCACAGCAAGGCCCTCTGGCCTGAGATAAAGGATGACACCTGTACCTGAGAATTGACCTCGGATTTGGAGCTCTCAGCATGCCACTGGCTCACTGTCAGGAAAGGGACTTTCCTTTTATGTTCCTTGTTATTTATAGAATGTTCCATTTGCTTTCAGAAGTGGATATATGAGATATGTGAGATCAATTGTAAATTTTAGGAAAATCCTTACAAACTTGTTGGGTATTCATCCTAACACATTCCATTTTGAGGAATAGCCAAATCCATCTCCTAAAAGTGCTCTCCAAGCTGTGCACTCCCAGAGATGTTTCAGAAAACTCTGGGCTTATCATAGTTGCTCATTAAACATGACACCTCCAAATCTCCTTCACTTTTCTCTCCAAAGTCTCATATGGATTTTCTCGACTTATGATATAAATGGTGGTATGGACTGGATGTTTATGTTCCTCCAAAACTCATATGCTGCAATTCTAACTTCCATGGTGATGGCATTAGGAGGTAGAGCCTTGGAGGTAGTTAGGTCATGAGCAGGGAGCCCTCATGAATGCGATTGGTGCCCTTATAAGAAGGAAGCCTACTTCCTCTATCTCCCCATCTCCCTGCTCCTTCCCACCACATGAGGATACACAGAGAAGACAGCCATTTTCAAACCATGAACTGGACTCTCACCAGATGCCACCTGGATTGACCAGCACCTTGAACTTGGAGATCCAGATTCCAAGAACTGTGAGAAATAAATGCGGTCTGAGTCGCCCAGTCTATGGTAATTGTTATAACAGCTAAAATAGACTAAGACAAGTGGAAAGACCTGAGAAACGAACTTAACAAAAATTCCCAATGCACTTAAAACAGAATCCAGACCCTGTGCTCTGGCCTAAAGATGCCAGGTAACACTGCTACCCACACTCTATTCCCAACTCATGTCAGCCTCTGTCTGCACATAATGCGCCAGGCCAAATATCCTCGGACCACCAAACTCTTTCCTGCCTCTGTCATTTCTATCTTGAACATTCTCTCCACGGCTCCTTCCAGGTCCCAAGAGAAAATTTCCTTTTCTCAGCCTGCTCTAATAACCATTTCTAAAGCAGCCTCCTTGCCAACTCTGCCCAGGCACTGTTTGTCCCATGATCTATTTCCTTCAGAGCCTTCATCACTCTCCTAAATAACCTAGGTTACTGATGTGGTTACTTGTTTATCACCTTTCTCCTCCTGTGAGCCTGGAAGCTCTAGAAAAGCAGGAACTTGCAGTCTTGTTGACCACAGTATCTCGTTGATGCCTAGACAGTGCTGAGCACGAGCAAGTAGTCAGTAGATACCTGTTGAGCCACTGACTCATATCATGACCTTCAATTTCTTTTCCCACAAACCACGTGCCCAGTGCTACCAACCACTGAGTTAGCACAGCAGAATTTCTCTCCTCCCACTTTTTCCTACCCCACTTCTGAGGACGGTCTACAATGACAGGGCTTCAGGGCTGGAGGCAAGAGGGAGGAGAATCGTGGGCTGTTGTTTTCTGAGGTTCAACCTCATTATCATGATAGACTAGTTAAAGTGTCCACAATCATACATACGGTGCATACTGTTGGATTTGTTACTAAAGCACTTTCCCTTGGCTCTATCAGCTCTGATTTCCCTGAACTCTCTCAAAGCCCAGTGACTTGAGGGGTTGGACTCTGGAGACAGAGAGACTTAATCTTGCAGCATGCAGCTTGGTTCTGCCACTTCCCAGCTATGAGAACTTATACTCCTCAAACTCCCACGTGTATGTATGCTGAGTCACTTCAGTTGTCTCCGACTCTTTGTGATCCCATGGACTGTAGCCTGCATGGCTCCTCTATCTGCAGAATTTCCCAGGCAAGAATACTGGAATGAGTTGCCATTTCCATCTCCAGGGGATCGTTCTGACCCAGGGATCCAACTGGCATCTCTTATGTCTCCTGCACTGGCAGGTGAATTCTTTACCACTAAAACCACCTGGGAAGCCCCCTCAAGCTCCCATTTCATCTATAAACTGGGGATGACAGAGTACCTACCTCTTAAGGTGGTTGTGGGACTAAGTGGATAATTCAGATCAAGGACTTAAAGTGCATAGCACAGAGCACGCTACCAACAGTCACTACCCCAGCCCACTCCAGAGGTACGGCCCCTCCTCTGGTAACTCTCCACGGTTGCTTTTATCAATGATGTGTATTTTAGTTCAGGGTGTCTACAGAGTCATGGAACACAGAAAGCCAGTTAGCACACACCACCCTCAAATTATCAGGGTGAGTGTTCTGAACAGACGGAGAGGACCTTCTCCCACCTTTGTGATTCAGCACACCATCATCCGGCCTGCAACCGGAACGACAGTCACCAAGTAAGCATGTTGGGTGTTTAGTTGGACTCAGGTAAATAGGTTTCCCTCTGATCTCAGGCCAAGTGTGCAATGATTTGCGGAATGCTAGCAAACAAAACCAACAAAATAAAACCTATCAAAGCAAGAGAAAGGAGGAAATCTTAGAATATGTTTGTCTAATATTAAACTCAGTGAGGGGTATGAAGAAACAGCTTTCCTTAACTATAAGGTGATAAGCATTGCTGCCTCTCTCATACTTGCAAAGTGATTCTCTTCAAATAGCTCAGTGACAGGGCAAGGTGGTATGATAATTATACAAAGATTTTCAGCTAACCTAACAGGTTGCATTGTGTTTTAGATTTATAGATAATAATATGTGAAACCTTATACATATGTAAGGTCATAGCTGGGATTCCCAGGTGGCTCAGTGGTAAAGAATCTGCCTGCCAATGCAGAAGACGCAGGAGATGCGGGTTCAATCCCTGGGTCAGGAAGATCCCCTGGAGGAGGAAATGGCAATCCACCCCAGTATTCTTGCTTGGGAATCCCCACAGAAAGAAGAGTCTGGTGGACTAGAGTCTGTGGGGTCACAAAGAATCGAACACCACTGAGCATGCATGGAGGCACCTGAGAAGCCACTATACACTATATACTACTATATTGTTGTTGTTGTTTAGTTCCTAAGTCGCGTCCAACTCTTTTGTGACCCTATGGACTGTAGCCTGCCAGGCTCCTCTGTCCATGGGATTTCCCAGACAGGAATACTGGAGTGGGTTGCCATTTCCTTCTCCAGGGATACTCTACTATATGCTTGGTTTATTAATCCCCTGCAAATTTATCTTGAATAAACCAAATCAACCTTGTGCCAATGATGGGGCAATTAAAGGAAACAGTCCTGCTGGCAACTTCTCTCAGGCAAGCTAATTCCCTAACTCTTCCTGCCTCAGTTTTTCCACATGAAAAATGGGGAGACAGTCATGAACAACCAGGGTTCAAATGAACAAAGGAACAATAATAGTGGCAAATAATTAACAGAATAGAACTGACTGGGGAGAAAAAAAAAACTGACTGAAACCAGGGCCTTTGGAAAGCCGAGGTATGGTGTTCATGCCGCATTCTCTTGGAACGGGGAACAGAAGGCTGCAGGGTCGGGGTGAGGGGAAGGCCCTCTGCGGAGTTACCTTCACGAACTGCACGTCGCTGAGGATGTGGACCGAGTAGTCGGGCGTGTAGAGGTTGTTGCTGCTGCTGCATAGCTGGGTGTTGCTCCCCCCAAAGTCGCTGCGCTCGCGGTTCGGAGACTCGGAGCGGTTCAACCCACTGCAGCGGGAAGGGGACCGGTTTACTGCAGATGATGAGAGAGGAGATGAGGGGGAAGGCAAGGAGGGTGGGGTGGGGAGGCAGTAGGGGGAAATAAAAGAGGGAGAGAGAGGAAGGGGTGTTGTTTACTGAGGTCCCACAGGACATTTAGGTTATGGCAACACGGGGCCCTCACCTCTCTCCTCAGAGCCCAGGAAATGCCCTGCTGCTCCATTTATGAGTAACAAATTCAGACCTCTGGGCTCCACTTGGCACAGGCTCCTTCCCTCCCCATGACCTCTACCAGCAGGGAGCTGGGTGGTCCACTGCCTTTCTTGGTTCAGGGGTAAGGAAGGGCAAGAGATGAGGACCCTGCTGGGAATGTGGGTGGCTACCCCAGACCATGAGACCCTTTATTAACCAAAGTGAGTTGTTTTATATAAACTCCATTCACAAACCTTCTTTCAGAAAGGCTGAAGCTTTAGGTTTGCCCTAAAAACCACCTGGCAAGCACAGATAACCAGCTCTCACTGTGGTCAGGCATTTCAGAGGGAATGTCAGGCCTGCTCCATAACTGGCAGGCAGGGACCAGCAGAGGCCCACAAGCCATATGGATAGATATTTAAATCACATCAATAAACTGTTAAAATATGCTCTATACTTCTCTTTGACAAATATACCGTCTTAACAACCTAGTAGGCCAGGTCAGGCTCCTTAGATTTTTGTGCCAGAAAATAGGCTGCAGGGGAGACCCTGCCCTGCCTTAGGGCTTCCCGGCCTGGTCTCCTAGAGCTGTCTGGGTGGAAAATTCAGGACTCCTGTATCTGAAATATGTTCTAGAAGGAAAAACACAGCTCTGGGTGGTATACATCCCTTTGGCTCTGTGAACTACTCACCCCATAGAGAGGAGGTGGAGCTGGGGAAGGCCAAAGTGGGGCCCCCTCCGGGGGTGTCTCAGGCAGGGCTCTCTCTAGGCTCACAGTCTGGAGGCTGGAATAATGCTCCAGACCTTCTGTCAAAGGCCTCCTGAATATTCTGAGTCAGTCTCTTTTTCCATTTTCAAGAACAATTCCTTGGGGAAGTTCAATTATGATCGTATCACTTGATTTCAAAATGGACTGGGAACTGCCCTCCCAGGATCAACAGAAGAGAGGTTCCTAAGGTGACCCTAGCATTATCTCCACCACAGAATAACCCTGAGTGAGACTGCAAAGCCCTTTCCACCGCTCAGCATCCCTCTGACACCACTCTGCATTTCTTCCCAAGAAAGAGAAGTGGGAAGCTGCAGCCCCTCCTAACACAGTCAGTTCAGGGGCGCCATGGAAGAGCCTGATTGTTTAGAGATTAGGCTCCTCGGTTCCTTCAGGGAAGAACCTTAGGAATTTAATTTTGTTTCTTAAGATAATGCTGCTATCAATCAAAATGATTAGCATCTCTTTGGAGTGACTTTCGGAGGTCTGACGGTCTGTTTAGCTGTCAAGCTGTTACTGTTGTCTGGCAAACCATATAGAGGGAAGATTAAAATGACAATATGTTGAATCATTTTCTTATTAGAGCCAGAATAATCACTGCCTTGATCAGATTATAGAATTAAGGTTTCTACCTCCAGTCTTTCCTTCTCAGTTAAGTGTTATCCATATATACACTGTTACTTGAACCAGAAACCTGGGAGTCTCCTGTGACTCCTGCCAATCCATCAGCCCCACATCAGGTCTCTGTCTCCACTCAAGTCCCAGTTACCATCACTCTTGCCTAGACCACAGTCTGGTCTCCCCAATTATAATCTCATAATCTGTTCTCACCTCAGCTGTCAAAAGCACATTTTAAAAACACAAATCAGGGGACTTCCCTGGAAGTCCAGTGGTTAAGAATCTGCCTTGCAATGTAAAGGACACAGGTCGATTCCTGGTGGGGGAATTAGCAACTAAGACCACATGCCACAGCTGGAGAGTCTGTGCGCTGCAACAAAAGATCCTGAGTGCCACAACTAAGACCTGGTGTAGCCAAATAAATAAATATTAAAAACAAACAAAAACACACAAATCAGCTTCCAGTTGAATCTAAGCCCCCCATGACTTGACCCTAAGCCCTAAGCCCCCCATGACCTGACCCCTGCTTTCCCATCTGATCTCCTCCTGGGGCTCTTCCCCACCTTGCTTGTTCTGCTCTAGCCTACTGGCCCCCTTGTGGATCCTCAATCATGTAAGCCTCCCCCACCTCAGTGATGCCATTACCCCTGCTCCCCTCGCCCTCATTTTACCTTCATGCCCCCTTTTCTCTCCTCATTTTAGCCCTCCAATCCCTGCACTCACTTTTCAGTCATTAGGTCTCAGCTGAACTATCACCTTCTCTGAAGACCTGGTCTGGCTACCCTAAGAATATTCCCCATATTTTCCTCAATCACTGTCCCCTGTTCATCCCTTTAAAGCAGTTTTCACAAGTTTTAATTAATTACAGGTTTGTATTTATTTGTAACGTCTGCTCAGTTCAATGCTAAATTCCATGAGGGCAGAGACCTTGTCTTTTCTGGTCATTGTTGTACATCCGGAATCTACCACAGCGCCTGGCCCAGAGTAAGCGCTCATTAAAGAAGGATGGAATGAACAAGTCAGCACCTAACAGTCCCTGAAGGAGTTTTAATTTAGAATCTAAATTTTGTTTTTAAAAAGATTTCAGAGCTTTTAGTCACTCTGGAATCAGAAAGCCTTTTCCAGCAACCTAAGTCATTCCCGGTAGACTGATTTCTTGAAGTGAGGGGTGGGCAGAAGGACACTCCAGAAATGCACTGCCAAGGCCCCATAACTTGAGGAAGAGGCCTCAGGAAACATCAGAACTTTCTGTTTGTCTGTCTATTTAATAAGAGTGTGTGAAACCAGGAGTCCTGGAGTCCTGCTTACCAGCTGCGTGACACCAGAGTGACCAGAGGACGAGAGGAACAGTGATGGTGATGTGGAGAACAGAATAAAGCACCAGTGTGACTACAGAGCAGCAGTATTGGGCAGAAAATGACCCATTCACATTTGGCCCTGCTCCCTTGAAATAAATGGACAAGGTCTGGCTTGACCCACTATGGCTGTTCTGAGGTGGTAGCTGACTGAGTCAGTTGGTAGTGCTTACTTAGGTCTGGCTGTCTGGAAAAGGGGGCAGGCAGGCCTGCAGGAGTGTGGCTTCCTTGGTTCGAGAAGACTCTGGAAAACCACACCTTGATCTGGTAGGTTTTTGTTTTCAACTCAGTTTGGAACAAAGAGAGTGGGTGTGAGCAGGGGTTTGTGGCTTCAGTTACCCTGAGAAATAACCACTGCTCATTGATAATCCTCCACTTTGCCTGGTGGGACCTGTGCCCCACAACCCCACACCTTTGTTCTATATTCTCATCCCTTATGTCATCATTCAAGACAGCTTCAGCAAGGCTGATAGGGAAATATATTGTGCTTACTAATCAACTTCCACTTACTTACAAGTTATGACAAACCTAGACAGCGTACTAAAGAGCAGAGACATTACTTTGCTGACAAAGGTCCGTCTAGTCAAAGCTATGGTTTTTCCAGTAGTCATGTATGGATGTGAGAGTTGGACCATAAAGAAGGCTGAGCAGTGAAAAACTGATGCTTTTGAACTGTGGTGTTGGAGAAGACTTTTGAGAGTCCCGTGGACTGCAAGATTAAACCAGTCAATCCTAAAGGAAATCAGTCCTGAATATTCACTGGCAGGACTGATGCTGAAGCTGAAATGTCAATAGTTTGGCCACCTGATGACAAGAACTGACTCACTGGAAAAGATCCTGATGCTGGAAAGATTGAAGGCAGGAGGAGAAGGGGACAACAGAAGATGAGATGGTTGGATGGCATCACTGACTTGATGGACATGAGTTTGAGCAAGCTCCGGGAGTTGGTGATGGACAGGGAAGCCTGGCGTGCTGCAGTCCAAGGGGCTGTAAAGAGTTGGACATGGCTGAGCGACTGAAATGAACAGAATTAACTTCTCCCTGAATCATTTCCACTTGCTGTTGAAAACAGAGGAAACAGTTTCAGCCCTGTTCTTCCCAAAGCTCTCATCTTCACCGGCGCCCAGCGCAGGCATGTCACCCTGCTGTCACTCACAGGGCCCACATGCCAAACACAAGCAACATCAGTGTTGTGCTGGGAGGAAAAACATGTTTCTTTCTTTTTTTTTTTTTAAGTAAAGACAATGCTATTGAAGATTTATTCATAATATCCCAAAGGATTCCCAACACCAAAAGATACAACTGTCTTACAAAGGTTGGGTCTATAAAAGCCATCTTTAAAATGAAAAAGGAATCTTCATTTCATGACAAAGAAAGTCCCAGCCCATCTGACTGTTGTGCAAGATCAATGATTTTGTGTCCCAGAGCCTGACATTCCTCAATAGGTAGGATGCTGATGACTTGGCATTTTGGTAATTGTGCACATACACTCAGAAGTTTTTGAGCAAGGGAAATGGAAATGCTTTTAATAAAAAAAAAAGAGAGAAGAAATCAGTAACAGACGAGTGTCCCAGCAGCATGGCAAACTAGTTCAAGTTGTATAATTCCCCTTGGCATTTTCTAAGAGCACAGAGGCACAGCTTGGGGGAGTGAAGAGAGAAGAAAAGTTCTAAGCACAGAGCAAAGAGGTCTAAGAGGCGACGGGCTGGGTAGTGGTGCATGAAACTGACCACAGGATCCCTCAGCAGGGCGCAGGCCAAGCTGTTGCCATCTCCCTCGCCCATCTTGCTCTTACATCATGCTCTCAATTTGGGTGGAGAAGTGTGGCAAGCTCATTCCTGCAGACTTCGTGTGGTTAGCCTGTAAGGTACATCTGTCCTGGATGGCAAGTTGGAGTTCCTGAGGTTGGGTGGAGAAGACATTGGGGTAAAATCGGGTTGGGGTGAGAGAAGGGGTGGAAGAGGTTTTTAAAGTGCAGTCAGGGCTGGATGGAATCTCCCCTCATTCTGCACGGATAGGCAGGGACCCTGAAAACCTAGACACACCTCTGGGACTCTTGCTTTACTTGTGACACCTGTGCCCAGAGCTTTCGCAACTCTATCCCAGGAACAGGAGCCACGCACAGAAGAACACCTCATTCTCCTTTTCAGTCTGGGGATGTGAGAAGAGGTAGGGTTCAGCAGCTGCCTGCTTACATCTTTCCGAGTCTCACTGAGGGACAGCCCAATTTGGTCATCGTCACTATGCCACAGGCCATCTGTGTTTTCTTACTGGATGGGGGAATTTAGTTACACAGGCTTATAAGAGTACAAACTAGGATTATTAAAATTCATCATCCTGGGGTACTATTCAACATCAGACAACCAAATTCCAAAAGCTCTCTGTCAAAGCTACAATGTGAACTCTGCAAATCAGCCGAAGTTAGGAGCCCAGATGAACTCGCTCACGTTACATGGAGCTTTAATGGTTCCCAAATGTTTACTATGCAAGAGTCGACCCAAAGAAATATTTCTACTTACCACATTTCACAAAGTAAAAAGATTATTTTTAGGTACTTCCTTTATATTCTGGGGAAAAAACTATCCCCACTGATCTCAAAGTACATTACAAATGCAATTGGGCATGGAAAAAGGACCATTGCTTGCGGCCTCTCTCTTGCTTTTGTTCTTTCATGGATTCAGAAGGACTGTCATGGGGAACTTGAAATCATCTCTACCATCAGGAGAAGAAAAAAGGAATGAATCCAGGGTCAGAGAATGATAACTGTAGTGGGGCTGTGTACTCTCAGTGGTTTTATTTTTAAATGAAAACACCTGCAAATCTGGCCCATCACAGCACACTCTGGAGGTAATCCACACACACTCTGCTCTCCTTATTTCACACTAAGTCTCAACTAGAAGGAAACTGCCTTTGCGTAATGGTGGCAATATTTGGAGTAGGGACCGCCGGCCTCAATCCAAGGTGAGTACTATAGTTCATTAGCACAGCTGCTTTCAAAATGCAAACCAGTGGCAGCCCTCTAGAGGGCACAAGAGGCCTGCATTCAGAAATGCAGTGAGGTCCCAGGCAATAGAACAGGGCTTAAGGGAGTTGGATTCTGGTACTCAGCCCTCTACATCCTAATTACACCTCTGACACTGACCCAACGGCTTAATTTCTTAAAGCTGTTTCCTTACCTATTGCTCCCAAACAATTTCTGCCCATCTCCTAAGGTGGTTGTGGGGATTTAAAAAATAACCAGGCTTTTTAAAAAAACTTAAAAGCCCTCTTAATTTCCAGGGACTCCTCTGGAGGTCCAAAGGTTAGGACTCTGTGCTTCCACTGCAGGGGGCATGAGTTCAATCCCTGGTGGGGGAACTAAGATCGCGCCTGCCATTCGGTGTGAACAAAAAAAAAAAAGATGGGAGTAAGACATAATATATGTAAATTAGTGTATCTGGGTAATAAATCAAGTATGGGGCCAGAATGTGCCCACAACTGCTTTCTGTAAATTCAATGACTGAAGCTTCTTCTGCTGCTGATACGAAACAGAAGCAAGAATGACTGGAAATACTAAATTATAGGATTATACTGATGAACTAGAACTAACCTTCTGTTAAGTAGGAAGTTATCATTAACTAGGTTGTCTGATGAGCTGAGGGTTAATTTTTTAAAAAGTATGTCCCTGCTCTCATGCTTTCATTCTTCTTTTTTAATGCTTTGATCTTTTTAGTTGAAAATCTTTAAAAAATGTGCATCTTCCCTTTCTGCTGAAACTAAAGAGCACATTATTCATTCACCAAGACTCCCCACGTGGGAAGGATCTTGAAGGTCCATGATGTGGTTGTTTCTAATTTTGCTGGCATGTGGGAGTGACCACTCAGCTGGTGAGGGCACCAGATTGGCATCTCCGACGGGCCACTCTCCTGTAGTCATCATAAAGGCATGAGCTCCCACAAAATGAGAAAAAAAAAATTTATTTCTTGGTGGAAAATCACCATGAAGTAAGAGAGAAAACTGATGAAATTGGAGAAGGTGGTTAATTTGTCTTATACAGATAAACATGGGAACCAGATGGTTTTTGATGGAAAACTCTGGTTTGTGAGAAAGTAGAAGTCAACATAAATAGTTCTGAAGTTGCAAATTTGGGGGTTTGAGGTCTCAGCCTATTTGAATGTTGAGAATCTACTATATACACAGTGAAATACAACTGATTTCTTGATGATGAGGCTATGGTGGGGCTTCAGAATCACTATCATAGCATTGGAATAAGGAAGACAGATATAGAGGGTGTGGGAAATTGGATTGTGCTTTAACTTCAGGGTAACTTAAATAAACGCTTAGTTTGGTCATTATTTGCTCCATGAAACTAAGAAATAAACTTCTAGGGATGAAAAAAAGGAAAAACAAGCTGTTAGCCGATTGTTCAGATTTATTACATTCTACTCCATCTTTGAGTTATAGTATGGAGCTGCTTTACCTGATTAAAAAGAAATTGGTAAATTTTCATTAACAGGAGAGGTTAAACCTAATGAAAAGTTGTTCTGAAGTTTTTAATATAGCATCCTTTGTGTGACCACAGCCAGTGAGATTATGGTCACTACATAGTAACATTTCTAGGAAGATGAGGTGGGGTTAGTGGTTAACTGAGGTCAGAGACTACATAGAAGAAAAGACAGGAAAAATGGAAATAAAGAAAAGCCTTTCATTGTTTTCTCCCATTTTTCACCTGCTGCACCTCTTATCCCTCCTTTCTGCAGTCAGACAAACGATAAGGAAAAACTCAAACCATTCCCCCCCAGCCCTCCCCATTTCTCACATGGATGCACACAGACATATCCCTGGGGGCTCGGTTCATAAGTGACACCACCGCACCAGCAATGCTTGGGCAGTGAGTACCAGTGAGTATTAGCAGTGCATCGTGCTATGCCTTCGTCCTGGGTGTGTCTGTTGGGAGAGGCTAGTTTTCATGTGGGACAGTGACAGAGACCAAAGGCCTCTTGTAAACCCCATGAATCTATGGAGACCCCATGGATCTATGGAGACCGAGACCCCATGCATGTTTACCTGGGGAGCCTGCCAGAGAGTCCCCTCTGCTGAAGGCGAAGGTACGAGACACAGAGACGGGCACTAAAGAGTCAAGGATTTGTGAGTTGCGAAGGGGAAGATAAACACAAAAGGAGAGAGACAAAGAGCAAAGTGGGTGAGACAGTCTGCTCCTGGATCTTCACAATATCCCATTTCTCTGCCAAAGGGAGTCTTGCCTCTGGAAACATGGAAATACATCTTCTCACAAAGCCACTCTCCGGAAAGAAGAAAATAAATAGATTTTGCTGAAGGCCTTCCAAAAAGATGCACAATAATCTCAGAGGGGATGAGACCCACCAGTGACAAGAACAGGCAGTGCCCCAGCAGGGAGTAGGCGTGGGCAGTGTTCTGACTTTTTGAGCCAGCGCGTGTGTTGGGAGCCCAGCACTGCATTCCCCCAGGCCCTTCCGACTGCCTTAGGGCTTCTCACCTGCAGCAGGGCTGAAAGCAAAGTGCAAGCTCCTGCTAGGGGCATCCTTGAGGAAGAGGAGGCCATCTTCTGCCTTGGACTCCTAGGAGTTCCCTCACTGGGCACAGTGCTGGGGACAGCTAGAGCCTCGGGACACAGGAGGGGCAGTTTCTAGCAATCTTAATGTGAATCAACTTGATAAACTAAATCACAGTCACTTCTTAGCAAGTACAAGTGCTCCAAAGCACCTCTCTTCCTATCCCCTTTTCCTTCTCTCTCTTTCCCCACAGTCTGAAATGGTGCTGGCTATCACTTGGGGCCTGGGTGAAGTGGAGTGTGTAGTAATATTCCAGTCCTTCCCCAACCTTGACCCTGATTGAGCAGTATTTCCAGGAGGGAATCTGTCTTTATCCCTCTTTTCTGATCATTCCCAGAGTCCCTTCCAAGAAGCTAAATGAAGTCAGTCTGCAGGGGACAGCACACTGAAATAGGTGGCTTTGGCAGTCTTAGTTGCTGCACCCGATGACTTGCCTGAAATTACCCAATAGTGTAAAGGGGAGAGGGGAGAGCCTTATCCTACCTGATAATCATTTACTTTGTCAAATAATCATATTCTTTGTCAAAGAATATTTAAATGGGCCCCTAATGTTGCAAGACACACTGGAATAAGAAACCCCATTGTCTTGAGAAGAATCCTAGTGCTTCCAGGCCACAAATTAAATATATCTCAGTCAAGCAAATAGGAGACTTGTTCTCTCCCACTTCCACACCCCTGTGGGCATCTGTTCTGGTCACGCTGAACTCAGGCCCCATTCCTCCAGATTACCACGCTCACTGCGGTCCTCCTGGGTTCCCTGGCAATCAGAACCAAGACAAAGGAGACAGTGCTGACTGTGTTTCCTTCACCTAGCACAGGAAAAGCAGAGGACAGACTTATAGCCTCAGACTGACTTATAACCTCAGTCTCAACTTTGAGACATCGGTCACAGGGCCAGTGTTCTGGGAAACTCAGCATCTCATTTATCACCCTCAAGGCTGACAAAGCTCTAGATTGACATCAAGGACAGGGCTAGTTAGGTAGACTGAGATCCTACAAGGATCCACCACCTTATGGTTCAGCCTTAAGCTCTTCCTTGACCTACAAGTAAGGTTCTTGGACAGTGAAAGATGCTGGGTGGCTGGACCTGGGCTGAGAGGTGGACCTGGAATAAGCAGGGGCAGGGGGTAGTGGTGGTGGTCTTTGCAGTTATCCACAGCTCACTCTATTAGGTGTGGAGGGCTCGTGGGGGAGAATGGAAAATGTCTCTATATCACCACAAGCTAATTTGATTTCTTTTTCCTCCTGAAGATGGATAAATAAAGATGCTCAGAAGTGTGGGGAGGGAAAGAGAGGTTAATATTTCTTTTTAGTTAACCAGTATTGAAGGAGAGATTACTATTGCAGGTTTATTCTGTCTCAATGATAAAATGGATTTTGATTGAAAGAACTAGAGACAGGAAGCAATGGGGAAACCAGATAACATTTTCCTACTACTTAAAAAAATTTTTTTAAAGAAGAAAGTCATGTAAATTAGATGGGCTTGGGACATTTACGCAGCAATTTACCCCTAGAGTCCCCACTTCTTTTGGTCTTATGTAAAGGCCAACACATCTAGGTAACACTTTGAATCTCAGTAGTCACTCTACCTTGTGCAAGCACCAATGTGATGGCTGGTGGAGACCTCCTTTGGAGAACCAAGGTCTACTTGGTCCTATAGACCATCCCTTTCCCATATCTTGACTTCTTGTTCTGCCAACTGATGCTTCCTTCACCAACCTGAATTGAGGTTTGCTGGTTTATAAAATACCAGGGTTTTTTATGTTACAGTCCTCCTTCCACATATGTGGGACCACTCCTTGGGTGTGGGCAGCTATTTCAATTTCATTTAAGCCCTCTGTTGGGCCAGGGTGGGAATTACACTGTAAATTGTCCCAATATTCCCACATAGAAATGATATCCTGGAACACGTTGGATCTAAGATCTGTATTTCATTGTGCTGTTTGAATGAGTCGGGCCCCTGGAATGCATTGAGGTAAATAATTGCATTGAGGTGATTCGGAGCAAGTCATTTCTTTAGTTTCTCTGTTAAAACAGTATATGCTTTTCAGGTGCCATAGATTGTGAGTTCAAGTTTTGGCACCCTCTGATAAATCCCAGTATAAAGCACTATGGAAGATTTTTTTTTTATGATGAGAAAAAATACCCATTTGGCATTAAAATGGCCACCATAAATACTTAGAGCTGAAAGCAATGCAAAATTCAGACTGGTGAATCAAAGACAAATCTAGAGAAATAATGCTTTCTGGATCACACTTATATCGCAACAAATGCCATGCCCTCTAAACACAAGTACGATAACTGATGCAGGAAGCAGAGAGAAGGTAGAGCACAGAAGGGGCAGAGAACACCCACCAGCAGCCTGTGCCAGCCCCTGCCATCAGCATGCACGGCCAGCCGCAGACCCCTCTCCACCTGCTGAGATGTGGTCAATGAGCAAAGAGAAGCAGATGAGCAACATACGTGCCAGCCTGAGGTTTACATCCTAAGACCTTGCTGTTGCTGCTTACTAAATGCCACAGACACAATAATAGCATATTAAGGTTTGCAAGTAGAGGACAGAGGGTGAATTATCACAGCACAGAAGGAACGGTTCAACCTCCAACAGAGCACACAAAACCGCCTGCTTGCATTCCCTGGCAGGTGACAGCAAATGGTGCCTCCCCTCACAACCTCTCTCGCTGGTCATTCATCACTTTGCACATGAGCAGAGAAGCAGCAGAAAACATTCTAGACTCTCAGAAACTAAGCCCCCCGTGGTCTGCGGGTACCTGGCAGAAAGCAGTGTTCCTGGCAGAGCATACAAAGAAGCTGCCAGCATTTTTGTTAGTCCCAGCCCAGGCTGAGAGTGGTCAGTCCGGGTCCCCAGACTGGGCTGAGGCAGGACCTTGGCAGGGAGGACGAGGGAGGGGTTTGAGAGATACATACGAAAGACAGAGGATCCAGCCAGGCTTCCAACCTTCCGCACATCGTTATCTAAGGACAGAAGGATGCAGTGTGTTTCAGAGGCAATTCAGAAAACACACCTTCTTAAAGGAATTCTCCCTCTTCGACCCCACCCACAGCACCAATCAACCCTGCAAAAATAGGGTAATCAGGTGGAAGTATAAAGAGTAAAATAAACGTGTCTTTTCATACTGAAAATTACCACTATCCATCCCTAACACTGGATAATGTTACAGTCTACCATGTACTTCCACTTCTAAAGTCTGGGAAAGTAAAAGGCTTGTCCGGGGTCCATAACAGGAGTCATGACTTGGAACCCAGATGCATTTTCTCCACTATCCCACTGCTTCCCCAATAAGCTACGGCTTGGAAACTGGAATACCTGAGCAAGCAGTGGTCATGATGGCTGGGACACCATAGTAGGTGAAGGCTCCGTTCTCGAAGCGAAGGCCTTCCTTACCAACCTCCACCTCCACTTTACCCTGGAGAAAGAAGGAAGTGTGCTAAGGGTGTGGATGAGCACTTCCAGCTCTTTTAGTGAAGACTACCCTAAGCACTTCTGTTTGGATAATAAGTGGACCTAAAATCTTATCACAGGAGAATGTGAATTCCATCCAGGTATGTTTTGGAAAAAGCAGCTTTAACTTCAGGAGCCCTTGGCAGTAAAGTCCTTGCTTAGTTCATAAAGAAGTATCCAGTCATGAACATGCAAGCTTTCCTTGAAGACTCTAATGGCTCCTTCATGAGGCAGGTCCAGCTAGCTCAGGACCCCATAAACCCCATAAACTGCTCCAGTGGTATAGTCTGAGACTAGACCATCTCTATTATCTCTAGCTGAGATAAAGCCAGATTCTGTGAGAAGCTTGAGCATATGGTATGCTATTAGGGGTCTGAAACCGTGTATATGCACTGCAACGATCCATCCCAGACCCTACAAGGTCTGTACTATTTTTACCCCCAGTTTTAAAGATGAATCAATTTTGAGGCTCATAAAGATTACATAACTGAGTCAAGGTTAGTTAACTAGTACTAATATTGGAATTTCAAAACTAGGTCTTTCCAATTTCTGAACCTACTCTCTTGCCCCTATATTTTATCCCCACCAAGATATATTTGAAAATGGTTACATTTATATTAGGCATAAGACTCTACTTGCGTTCCTTGTGTTATATAAACAAAGTAAACACCCTTCTCAATTTCCAACAGTAAAGAATGCGACTCCATTTCTGGAGAAGGCGGCATTTTAACGAGGCTATCTGGAAGGATGGGTTTGAGGCATATACCGTGTCCGAGCAGGCAGGTGGCAGGGGGACTGTAACAGAGAGGCCCTTTCTAAGTCAGTGTGAATTTAATTAAGATTTTAAGACAATCATTGTATTTAGGGTTCACCAGATTCTATTGGGAAGAGACGGTGAATAGGGACGGGGCTAATGGTGGAGCCAGGCCAGGAGGCGGGGCTGGAACCATGCCTGACACTTATTTACAGGCCTCTCCACTGAGTGACTGAACTGAACTGAACTGAACCACTTATTTACACCCCCCCTCAGGGCAGGGGGAGGGGTGACTGTATTCATGTGCGTACCAGGAAGATGATGCATCTCTCTCATTTGCTTGTTTATTCCCTCATAGTCCCCTAAGGAGAAGATTAAGGGACTGCAATGGTTGAAGTGTGGCAGAGAGAGTGGACGTTTTCCATGTGCCTCCAGAGAGCAGAGCAAGGAAATCAGAGATGGTGAGATTTTAGCGAGATAGAGAGAAGAGCTTAAAACAAGGAGTGCCTGAAATTTGGGAGGCAGTGCACAGTTGCATTCCTGGGCATGGCCAAGCAGACAAGAGGTGATAGGGATTTTGTAGGACACCAGTTTAGGAAGTTTAGCAGCAGAACCCCCTTGGTTGGGAGTTACCCACTGCACCCCCAACCACAAACATTGCTGACATCAGACTAAATGCCATCTAGATCCCATCACTCTAGGATGCCAGCCAGTCACACCTGTCTCCTTCTGTGAGTCATGGACAAACGCCCGCCCCAGCTGGCCTTGCTCCTTGGAACTTGGCTTAGAGGAGGCATGGGCATTCCTCTTCAGCCTGGAGAAGTCCTATCTTGCCCTTGGAGGGTCCAGTGCTTTCCCACTCACCTGCAGAAGCAGCACAAAGTAGTCCACGGGGCGGTTGCGCTGGTAGAGGTAGTGTTCTGGGGCCTTCTTGTTCTTCTCATCAAACTTCAGCTCCTGAATCACGTTGGGATGTTTCAAGAGCCGGAGCAGGATCTTCTCCGAGAGGTACAGAGACTTAAACGGCTCCACTTCTAGGGGAGAGTGAAGGTAGGAGGAATCGGCAGCAGGGAGGAGTCAGGGTGGACACACCAGAGCCATTCCCGCTCCACGCTCCATCCTGCAATTTCCTTGGGTGGGTGGGTCGGGGGGGTGTCTTAAGCCCAGTGTGCATCTTCAGGCCCTCTGGGGGTATGGGTCCCTGCACTGGCATCTCAGGCTGCTGTTTTGACAGTGTCCATTTTGTTATTAATTTTCTCCTTGATTTTCTTTAAAGCTGCACATAGACTTAAAAAAGAAGAAAATCCTGCCATTTGTGACAGCACGGATGAACCTGGAGGAAGTTATGCTAGGTGACATAAGCCAGGCACAGAGGGACAAATACTACATGATACCATTTATATGATGAATCTAAATAGTCAAATTCATAGAAACAGAGAGTAGAATGGACTGGGAGAAGGAGGTAATGGGGATATTAGTCAGAGGGTATAGAGTTCCAGTTATGCCAGATGAATAAATTCTAGAGATCTACTGCACAGCATATAGAGCCCAAGAACAATACTATACTGAAGACTCTAGAGAATCCCTTGGACAGCAAGGAGTTCCAACTAGTCCAAGCTAAAGGAAATCAGTCCTGAATATTCATTGGAAGGATTGATGCTCAAGCTGAAACTCCAATACTTGGGTCACCTGATGCGAAGAACTGACTCATTTGAAAAGACCCTGATGCTAGGAAAGATTGAAGGTGGGAGGAGAAGGGGATGACAGAGGGTGAGATGGTTGGATGGCATCACCTACTCAATGCACATGAGTTTGAGTAAACTCTGGGAGTTGGTGATGGACAGGGAGGCCTGGCGTGCTGCAGTCCATGGGGTTGCAAAGAGTCGGACATGATTGAGTGACTGAACTGAACTGATACTTAAAATTTTGTTAAGATCTTATGTTAACACACACACACACACACACACACACACACACACACAAATAGTAATAACACATATAGAAGGTGGGAGGAAACTTTTGGAAGTGATGGATATGTTTACGGCACAGGTTATGATGATGGTTTTATGAACATATGTGTATTTACAAGCTCATCAAGTTGTTTACCTTAAATATGTACCATTTTTTATATGTCAACTATACTGCAATAAAGTGATTTAAAAAGCAACTGGAGTTGGACATGGATAAGTAAGCCATGTGAACATGGCTAAAAGGCTTTAATGCTATGATCAAATGAAATACGGAGAATTTAATCTGACTTATTTGTATGATGTATATCTGTTGAGTGAAATGAAATTTCAAGTTAACAGGAACACTTAACTATTTAAGTGGAAAGTTCTCAATAAGAAGCATCATTGAATCATATTTACATATTAATAGATATTATTATATGTTATATTATTATTTATATTATGTTATACTACAGTATTATATTAGCCACTTCCCTGGTGGCTCAGATGGTAAAGTGTCTGCCTGCAATGCAGGAGACCCGGGTTCAATTCCTGGGTTTGGGTTGGGAAGATCCCCTGGAGAAGGAAATGGCAACCCACTCCAGTACTCTTGCCTGGAAAATCCCATGGAGAGAGGAGCCTGGTAGGCTACAGTCCATGGGGTCACAAAGAGTCGGACACAACTGAGCAACTTCACATAGTATTATAGTTTGGCATATCATTATATTTACAGATACATCTGCTTTGTTCTAGGAAATCAGATACCCAGTTGACATCTGTAGTCAACATTGAGAGACTATATTAGAACTATAAAGTCAGAACTATATTACATGTTGAAAACCCTAAAGAAGCTCCAATTTAAAATTTTCTACCTTTTAGCATCTGGAACAGTACTAGCATTCATTATACATTCAATAAATACATGCCAGATTAATTAAATAGTGAACTTACTAATGTGTGTGATTGTTGTAGGTCAGCACATTAATTAGGCATGAGTGAGAAGATTAGACAGTTCAAAGACAATTTTACCTTCTTTACAAGAAGGAGAAATTTATCTTTGGATCCTCTCTTTTCTTCCTCTAAAGATTCTGGGATTCACAATCCACGTCTGTATTTGAAGAACTCAGCTCACAGGCCTACACGGCTCCTGGAGGGTCCGGGCCCCAGGCCTTTGTGGCTACATAGGACATCGCCTGTCCCTCCCAGATGAACCCTCTGGACCACCAACCCCCACCATGAAGCAGGTAGAGGAATGGAAAGTGCAGCGGTGGATTCCTCAGCTCTTTTCTCAAGTAGAAGAGAGAAAAGCAGAACTGCATCATACTCACTTACCCTGAGAAGACCGGAGGCTGAAAACGAGCAAATGTAGGGTCCCCTGCCCAAGGATAACCTCCTCTTGCGGAACAGTGGTTCTCAGTCCCTGCACTGGACTCACGTTACAAGGTATTAAGGATGACTGGTGCCTGGGTTCCACCCTCCAGAGCTGCCTTGCCTGCCTGGGGTGGAGATGGCAGGAGGGCAGGGTCATCATACCTGTGGCCATGAAGCGGTGCGTGGCCAGCAGAAGCTGTGGTGAGATCTTCACCCTCATCTCCGAGTCGGAAAGCTTAAACAAGGAGAAGTCGTGCCGCTTCCTCTCCCTGTGTGGGACTCTCTGCTTTTTCCGATTGTCTGCTGTGGGAACAGGGGACAGATGGCAACTTTCTCAGAGTCACTGTTGATTTTTGGAAGTTTCACCTGAGACAGGTCCTTTGGGACCATGGGGATTTCTGGAACGTGTCAACAAGTCTCGGTATTAATTGCACTGAAGTGGTGAGCAGTGGAAAAGCAGAAGGCCGGCCTGGGGCTCCCACGTTCAGGCTTCTAGGGCTGGCTCCTCTGCTTGTGAGCTATGCAGCATCTCTAAGCATCACAGCGCTTGTGTGCTTTAATTTATACAATAAAGTTAGTGATTAATCCTGACTCTTCTGCTCATAAGTTTAGTGCCTGCACGCTTAGCCACTCCATCATGTCCGACTGTATTCAACCTCAGGGACTGTAGCCCGCCAGGTTCTTCTTCTCCTGCATTGTAGGCAGATTCTTTACCATCTGAGCCACCAGGGAAGCCCCATAAGGTTAATGATTAATTATAATTTTTCTGCTCATCTCAGGTAGTTATTATGAGACTTCCATCAGAATCTATCTGTGAAATGCTTAAAAATAACTGTATGCTTACAAAAAGGCCTTCACACACGAGGGACTTGTGTCGTTAGCATCAAGGACTATGGCAGGGCCTGAGGGGTTTCTGCCTTGGCCATACTCCTGTCCTCAGAGCTGGACTCATCTGGTCTCTTCCCACTGATTTAAATCATGCTCTGAGCGGTACAGAGGGATGCCACCCAAAGGAGGAGGCGGGTGGTCACTCCCTCTTTCCACTCATAATTCTCTTGCTTCAACTCTGGCCCCTCCACTGGGAGAGAACTGGGGGAAATAAAGGAAAGATCGAGAAAAAATGTGACTAGCTCTATAATCCATAAAGGTGAATTCTCCGGGTGGGGGCCTCAGGCAGGACTATTGTGATTATTGATTGAAAAAAAATCTGCTTTTTCCAATTTAATTTTTCTCCCTGCTTTTTAAAGCCTTGTCCAAAAAATATATATATTTTAGATCTTGTCTAAAATATATATATTTTCAGGGGGTGACTTCCCTGGTGGTCCAGTGGCTAAGACTCCATGTTCCCAAGGCAGGGGGCCTGGGTTTGATTCCTGGTCAGGGATCTAAGATACCACATGCCACAACGAAGCGTTCACATGTTGCAAATAAAAAGATCCTGAGTGCTACAACTAAGACCTGACACAGCCAAATAAATTTAAAAAAAAAATCTGTTTGGGGGTAAAGGGTAGGTTTTCTTTGGTTATATGTCTCTTGCTTTCCCTTAGTACTGAGTAAAATATTGAAACTTTAGCCTATCTCTCCTGGAGAAGGAAATGGCAACCCACTCCAGTATTCTTGCCTGGAAAATCCCATGGAAGGAGGAACCTGGTAGGCTACAGTCCATGGGGTCACAAAGAATTGGACACGACTGAGCGATTTCACTTTCACTTTCACTTTCAACCTGTGTTAGGGGTGCAGAGAAGCAAATTAGGGTTTTTCTAAAGTTGGCCTGGAGCAAAACAGGGGTGCAGGGAACTCTCAGTACAGGATGAACAGACACAGTGGAAATGAAAGGGAGAGAACTCCAGGGGACGGGCTCCCAGGGACTCTCCCCCTCCTTCTGATTTTGCTCTGCCACATGACTGAGTTCCCTTCTAGAAGGAAGAAAGTGCTCTCCTCCACACTGCTCTCTTGTGGGCCTGCCTTGGACTCCCAGCCCTGGCTTTAAGGCTCCTTGTGTCTGGTTGCCACAAATGGTGAGATCCCACAGTGAGATCCAGGCCCCGCTGTCCTGGGGCTCAGGATCTGGGGAGAAGCAACCAGTAGTCCTGGCTCCTCAGCCTTCTCACCTTTCTTAAGGATTCATGCTTTTATCTATGAGTGGGAAAATCGTAACCCTCTCTTTTAGAGAGACGATGGTTTAGCAAGAGAGCAGCAAAGATATCTATCAGACCATTTTTTTCCAATTACTAGTAAGTAACCTCCTGATTTACATGACGTGTTCATCTAAATATTCCCTCTCTCTCCTCCATCAGAATGCTACCGAATAGTTCATCACTGGACAATCAGTTTCCTCTGATCTCCCTCTTCATTCCTTCTATTTTATTTTATTTATTTTTAAAATACTTTTTTTGATGTGAACCATTTTTACAGTCTTTATTGAATTTGTTATAATATTGCTTCAGTTTTATGTTTTGGTTTTGCTGGCCATGAGGCATTTGGGGTCTTAGCTCTTCAAGCAAGGATTGAACCCATACCACCTGTGTTGGAAGATGAAGTCTTAACCACTGCACTGCCAGGGAAGTCCCCATTCCTTCTACTTTAATAGTGAGTAGTGGAATATCAGGTTGTTGAAACAAATGCCCTAGGAAGAGCTTACTCACTTAGACTGTTGTCACTACTATTAACGTCAGCCACTAACACTTCAGTGTGAATGTTTTCACCAATATATCTATTGAGACACTTGGGATTTCTAAATCTAGAGCAGAGTGATAGTCAGAGGTGGAGAAGGGGGAAAGGATTGGGGGATGGAGAGATCAACCCCTATTTTAAGGAGAGGAGCCGGGCCAGGGCTCCACTGCAGCAGCAGACACTGTGACACTCCTGCTATGTTTCATCAAGGCTTGGCCCACCTTGGTCTGATCTCTTCTCGCCCCAAAGGGAAGCACTCTTTCTGCACCACTCTCTGCCTTAGAGTCTTGAAGTTTTTTCTGCTAGGAGCTTATCTTTGAACAGTTGCCTCCAGCAAACTAAGGACACAGATCTGGAATGGGTTCTCTGAGGGGAGGATGGGGACTGCTGTCCCAGTTGATGAGATTAGGAGGAGGGGACACTTACTGGCCTAGGGACTCCCATGGATTTGATAACACTTCCATTGTTGAGGAAAGCAGGCCTTTGTAATGTTTGCGAGCAAAGCTTTGATAAGTCTCAGTAGCGAAAGCAGTCACTATCGCAAGGAGGAACCTGTGTTGTTGAGGGGGAGTGGGGAGGAGGGTGAGAAGACTAGAAAGGGGGGAGCAAGGGCCAGAGCCAGGGGTGGAAAGGGAGGAGGTGGGGAAACCAGGCAGCAGGGTTGAAAACACACATAGGACAAGAGCAGCGTCTAAAAGGACGACTTAGGTTTGGCTTAAGTTGTGCTGGGTGATGGAGAAGGCAATGGCAACCCATTCCAGTACTCTTGCCTGGAAAATCCCATGGACGGAGGAGCCTGGTAGGCTGCAGTCCATGGGGTCGCTAAGGGTCGGACACGACTGAGCGACTTCACTTTCACTTTTCACTTTCATGCATTGGAGAAGGCAATGGCAACCCACTCCAGTGTTCTTGCCTGAAGAATCCCAGGGACGGCGGAGCCTGGTGGGCTGCCATCTATGGGGTCGCACAGAGTCGGACACGACTGAAGGGACTTAGCAGCAGCAGCAGCAGTGCTGGGTGATGTCATGAGTCTCCACAGCACGCTGATGTTGTTGTGAGTGAATCATGAGTGGAACCCCTAGGGATGCCGGGGTCTGTGTCCAGGTGGACAAAGAGACAAAGCAGGAACAACACAGGGGACAGAAACAAGGGCAAAGAGGTCATCTGAGGCACACTTCATTTCCTCCATCCAAGGGCAAGGAGGTCTCCTTCTCATAGTCTTGGCTCTGTTCCTGAAGGTTCTCTCTTGATAAACATTTAGCTAGCACACTCAGTGACTCAGCCGTGGTTCAAGCTGGGGCATCTTGCCAGCCCCTGGCAGGAGGGGGCTGACACACAGCAACACTTGGGGCTTGTCCTGACGCCCTTTCACACTGTCCATTAAATTAAACCAGCTCTGAGAACCTCAGAGGAAAATATGATGGCTTTGGAGAAGAGCCACTTACTGTAGAGGTCAGTTTCATCCAGGATCTCTGACTTGATGATCTCCTCTATGATGTCCTCCAGTGTGACGATGCCCATCACCTCATAGAAGGGGTCCCCTTCTCCCTCGTTATTCACCCGCTGGACAATAGCCAGGTGAGACTTTCCTAGAGACAAAGGAAGTCATAGTTAAGCATCTGGGATATTTTCAGAGAACTTTCCTTGTGAGAAAATGATCCTAAATTGCTCTCTCTGAACCACTGAACCCATTCCAGGATCTGTTTAAAATATGAAGTTTGTGTACAGTCTCTTATAAATGCAAACTTTATACTTTTATGTCACTGTCTCTTTTCAAGCAAGTTACTTGGACTTCCCTGGTAGTCCAGTGATTAAGAATTTTCGTGCCAATACAGGGCACATGAGTTTCATCCATGGTCTGGGAAGATTCCACATGCCTCAGAACAGCTAAGCCTGCGTACTACAACTACTGAGCCTGTGCTCTAGAGCCCACGTGCCGCATCTTGAGAAATCCCATGTGTGGGAACAAAGATCCAGTACAGCCACAAATAAATAAATAAAAAGAAAGTTACCTGATATACACAATGCCATTTAAATGTTGATTTTTTTTTCCACTATAACTTTCCTGTATTAAGTATATCTAAGCTGAAGGAGGATGAAGGATGAATAATCTAATTGAGAGAATTAGAATTTGGAGTTAGAAGAACTAGGTTAGAAGCCTGCAAACCTCCCCGCCGCCATCCCTAACTATCTTAGTGACTCTCTGTGCAACTCACCCTGGACAAACCAGTACATTAAACCTGTACTGAATCTCAAGCTTCTCATCCAGCATTAGAGGATAATACTAAAATGGCGATTTTCAATGTGGCTCCCAGAGGCTTTGATATGCCTCCCATTGAGAAGTGTGGTCTACACCTCCCAGAATATTGGAAATAAAAGCAAAAATAAACAAATGGGACCTAATGAAACTTAAAAGCTTTTGCACAACAAAGGAAACTATAAGTAAGGTGAAAAGACAGCCCTCAGATTGGGAGAAAATGATAGCAAATGAAGCAACAGACAAAGGACTAATCTCAAAAATATACAAGCAACTCCTGCAGCTCAATTCCAGAAAAATAAATGACCCAATCAAAAAATGGGCCAAAGAACTAAACAGACATTTCTCCAAAGAAGACATACAGATGGCTAACAACCACATGAAAAGATGCTCAACAGCACTCATTATCAGAGAAATGCAAATCAAAACCACAATGAGGTACTATTACACGCCAGTCAGGATGGCTGCTATCCAAAAGTCTACAAGCAATAAATGCTAGAGAGGGTGTGGAGAAAAGGGAACCCTCTTACACTGTTGGTGGGAGTGCTAACTAGTACAGCCACTATGGAGAACAGTGTGGAGATTTCTTAAAAAACTGGAAATAGAACCGCCATATGACCCAGCAATACCACTTCTGGGCATACACACCGAGGAAACCAGATCTGAAAGAGACACATGCACCCCAATGTTCATCGCAGCACTGTTTATAATAGCCAGGACATGGAAGCAACCTAGATGCCCATCAGCAGACGAATGGATGAGGAAGCTGTGGTACATATACACCATGGAATATTACTCAGCCATTAAAAAGAATTCATTTGAATCAGTTCTAATGAGATGGATGAAACTGGAGCCCATTATACAGAGTGAAGTAAGCCAGAAAGATAAAGAACATTACAGTATACTAACACACATATATGGAATTTAGAAAGATGGTAATGATAACCCTATATGCAAAACAGAAAAAGAGACACAAATGTACAGAACAGACTTTTGGACTCTGTGGGAGAAGGTGAGGGTGGGATGTTTCGAGAGAACAGCATGTATATTATCTATAGTGAATAAGATCACCAGCCCAGGTGGGATGCATGAGACAAGTGCTTGGGCCTGGTGCACTGGGAAGACCCAGAGGGATCGGGTGGAGAGGGAGGTGGGAGGGAGGATCGGGATGGGGAATACATGAAACTCCATGGCTGATTCATGTCAATGTATGACAAAACCCACTGCAATGTTGTGAAGTAATTAGCCTCCAACTAATAAAAAAAAAAAAAAGAGAAGTGTGGTCTAATCTCGTCCCTTGAGTCTGGGCAGGCTTGTGACTGCTTCAATCAATGGAGAACAGGGAAAGTGAAAGTGTTAGTTGCTCAGTTGTGTCTGACTCTTTGTGACCCCATGGACTGCAACCCATCAGGCTCCTCTGTCCATGAAATTCTCCAAGCCCAGGGGATCTTCCTGACCCAGGGATCAAGCCCGGGTCTCCTGCCTTGCAAACAGATTCTTTACCACCTGAGCCACCAGGGAAGCCCAGAGAACAGAGAAGTGTTGGTGATGAGGCTTCTGAGAATGCATCATAAAAGGCATGTAGCTTTTGCTGCAGAAACACTCTAAGAAGTCTGACAACAACCTTGAGGCCACCATGGTGAAGGGGACCCATGTTGGTGCTTAGGTGACAGCCCCAGCTAAGCCTGGCCTTTCAGCCATCTCACCAAAGTGCCAGACAGGTTCGAGAAGAAGCCTTCTATGGCAGTGGATCCTGCCCCACCTGCTGGCATCCTCCCCAGCCATCTAAGATGTTTCTAGCCACCGGCACAATCACTGTGAAGCAGAGATAAGCACCTCCCACTGAATTCCTGACTCAGGAGTCTGCAAGCATGATAAAATGGTTGTTGTTTTATGCTTCCAAGTTTTGAGGTGGCTTGTTAATAGCAGCAGTTAACTAGGACAATCAATTTCCATCAAGTGATTGTGGAGTTCAAATGTCCTAGTGGATGTGTCCAGGATCAGCTGCACAAAGAGTCACAGGGTAGTTAGGGAGTAGGGGCAGGGAGGTTTCCACGGTGTGGAGGCACTGTATAAACTATGTCACAGGCATTTAGTTAACTTACTGCCCAACAACTGACTAGCAGTAGTTAACATTTATTGCGCTAACTACATGCCAGGTACCATTTGGAGCACTTTACATTTATCAGTTCATTTCATCCCCATAACAACCCCTGAGACAAGTACCATTATTATTCCTCTTTTACAAGTGAAACAACTGAGGCACAGATTGGTTAACTAATAAGCCTAAAGTTACAGTCTGTGTAAGTGGCAAAGCTAGACTTTGTGAACCCAGGTAAACTGGTTTTTGGTCCTAACCTAGAGACTGTCTTACCTAAGAGTCCTGCTTCACCTTGGTTTATTTTCATCCACTGATAGATGCATTTTTCTGGATCTGTTTCTAAAAGGACAATCTGGGTGGTTCTTTTCCTTGGCTAAGAGAACATCTCCTTAAATTAGGAGACTATTTAGGGTACTGATTCAGATGCTATTCTTGCCCCCCACCCCCCCAAAAAAGGAAGTTCATGCCTTATCACTGCTACCCTGTATAAGCTTTTGCTTGCCCACTGCTAGAAATAGCAGAGTAGTAAGCTTGCCAGTGCATCATTAACCATTAAAATTTAAACAACATGAATTTCTGTATCAAATACCTCAAATCGCAAGATAGTTTATTGGGATTTTTAACAGGACAGATGGCATCTATATCACTCAAAAATAGTCTCTAATTTCCTCCCCACCTCCAACTCATCCTGCGACTTACTCCCAAACTGACTTGATCAGGCCACTCCCCCGCTCAAACAGCCTCCCTAGTGTGCACAAAGTCAAATCTAGGCTCATTAGTTTGGTATTCTCAAGACGGTAAAATGTAGCACCTCCCTGTTTTTCTAACTGCATGCCCCGCCACATCCTCCAAATATCCTGTACTCCAGAGGAACCATGTTACCTCCAGCTCCTAACTTCCTCCACATTCATTTTCCAGGTTCTTACTCACACTGTTTCCTTTTCCCATTCTGTCTCCACCGGACCTTCAAGTTTCAGCTCAGTGCCAGCTCTTCAAGAAAGCTCTCCTGGATTTGCCCCATTCTGAATCTGAACCAAACTTCCCTTGCCTGTGTCTCTAAGCCCTTGATAACTCCATTAAAGCATTTATCACAATTTGCTGCTTCTCATAACTTACAATATGTGTGCCCTCTATAGCAGCAGTCCCCAAACGTTTTGGCACCAGGGACTGGTTTCGTGGACGACAATTTTTCCATGGATGGGGAGGGGGATGGTTTTGAGATGATTCAAGTGCATTGCACTTGCTGTGAATTTTATTTCAAAATCTAATGCCGCCACCGATCTGACAGGAGGTACCAGTCGTTGACCTGGAGGCTGGGGACCCCTGCTCTACTGGGCCTACGTTTCTTCCTCTGATTATAAGATTCTTCAGGACAAAGGCTCATACACTTAGTCGGGGTTCTCTCTACACAACAGGCAGCCAATAAGTGCCTGATGAACTGAACTAAGACTGAATAAAAACCCACAGTTTATGTAATACATGATATTAAAACCAGACAAAACCCTTTTTAAAAACTAAAATACAGTGTGTTTAAATTAACATTTAAACTGAATCAGTGGTTCTAAAATTATTCTTTGAAACAACGACATCCTGCCCAATTGGATTGAAGTGTTTTGTAGCTTAAATTAGATTATGTTAATTGTTAGGATGTGCTCAATTTAAAATTGTTTTTTTTTTTAACACATGTTCTTAAACTTCTGGCACCTGCTCTCACTTTTCTCCTAACATGTGCTAGCAGATGACAAAACAAATGACTAGCATAATGGAAAAAGTTGGGAAAGTGATTTCTTAAAATTATTTTCTATAATTGGATAACTTTTTGTTATGTGGAGCCCAGAATATATATAATACAGCCATACTTCCTGCCACTAAGAGGTTTAGTTCATATAATGGGATTAAATAAATCAACATCTTGTGTTGTTTCACAAGAAGTGTCCTAACTTCCATGTGAAAATCCACCACTGGTCTACACCTTTCAAGGTCAATTTGAGGACAAACTATATGATCATCTGGGAATAGTGATTTCAAGTCCTAATTATATGATATTCAAGACAATGTACTTGTGTAATCTATTTAGAAATACTTTATAATTCACAATCAGCCTTTATGATTCCGTCAAGTGCCTATAGAGATCTACAAACAAATGAAGGAAGTCATTGTTTCTTGGGGACAGACTGGAACAGGAATCAATAATCACATAACCCTGTTCTGAGCTGACAATGGGACAAGAA